AAAATAATGCTTCCAGTGATCAAGACTTAATTCTTGAAGAAATATTCTATATCAAGCACGTTTGGCAAACAAAAATGGCAGAATGACTTTGCTTTGTGGCAGCTTTTTGTCCTGCAGGAGAAACTGGTCCACTTTGTAAAACAGGTGCTATCACAATAGAATAACGTTATGTAGAAATACTGCAGCGACATCAAGCAGGAAAGAACCTTTTCCACCAAACTGATTCCAGTGCTTTACTGGTGCTAAGGTTACAAACATATCTGAAACTGACTTAATTCATTATTTGTTATTCTGGCATTTAGCAAACAGAAAGAATTACTGTAATCCCACTTGACCTAAAGCAGGAAGAAATTACTCTGATTTAATCTTGGACAATAAGACAAAATGCCATGTCCGTTTGCTACGTCAAAGAGACATAGCACACACAAGCTTTAGATTTCAACTTCATACCTACCATAGACCGTTCTGAGTCACCTTCAACTGGGAACACAATCACTGAAAGGAAGCAACTGATAAAGAAATTTCTCCCGGCTGTTCGACCACTAGAGGACACTTTTGAGAGGCAGCGGTGAAAGATAAGAGAGAGAGGATATGCAATGAGAGAGGAAACTGTTTTCAGAAACAGTGGCTGGGGGCAAATGAAGGAAACACGAATAAGAAGATATTGGTACAGAAGGAGTTAAATTAGTGAGGTGGATTTAACTGAAGAGTGAATATGGTCTCTGTGCTGCAGGATAAGAGAAAAGTGTTCGGCCCCACTCTGCTTCCAGCCAGTGAGCTAATCTGCTTCCCCTCCACCCGATTTCTTATCATGGCTTTTCTGTAAGTTTACCTGAAACCTTTCTGGGACAAAACACAGTCATCACCTCACACACACACACACAAGCATTGATCCATTTTAGTGACTGTGTTCGTGCCCTGCTCAGATATCTTCCCTAACTCTAACCAGTACATTCCTAACTCCAACTTTAACCAATACAGAATTCACACCATTTACACTGGTGACTTTGGGACCCATAGGGCCCCTCACAGTGTAGTACTCGCTGGAAACATGGGCCTATCGTGCTGTGACAGAAACACACTCACACACTCTTTCCATGCTTTGAGGTTTTCATCATGGCATGAACTTCATGGTGAAAACGCAGTTACTGAGTCAGACTTATAGCCGGCTAATGGGGAAACGACTGCAAAGTTTCTGCTTCATGGTGGAGCGAAGGAGGGCGGTATAACAATCCAGTGGTACAGTGGGCTGTGCAGCTGTGTGTCTGTGCTCACAGTTTAAATGAAAACCACTCAGAGCTGAAAGAGTCCAAACTGGATCTAATAATGATAAACATCAGTCGATTTATTTTTCTCTAAACTGCCTTCTTACATTACATTTTCTGTGTGCTTCAGCATCAAAAACCACATAAAATACATACATTTGTCCGTCGAGTATAGACTTGTTAACATGAAGTCCCGACACTCGAAACATGATATCAAAACTAATATTGCATCTGTGAACTGTTACGATCAAATTTATTGTGATGCTCCACTTAATATTATCACTCATTGCTGATTTATACAAAAAAAAACCTCAAGAATAAATCTCTTTTTGATTTTCACTTTGAATATTTTGCTACAAAAAAGATAAGAAACTGAGATCCATCCTTTGGAACTGGACAGTCACTGGAAACGCAACCAGTCTCACACTGGAGTCCATTCTGTACCCAGTCTGTTGCTATTCGCGCTCTCTCCTACAGGTGGCGTGGATTTGCCTGAGTTTGGATCAGTGCTGACACAGCAGCCGAAAAAGCATAGATTAAGTCCAATTGATCCCGTTCCTGCTTGTTCATAAATAGTTTCTCGTTCTAATGAATTCAAGACAAGCACGAGCGATCTGAGACTCCTCTTCATTCGTAGATTGTGAATCTGTCAGGATGATGAAGAAGAAATGAGCCGCCAGCATCGTCTTCCTGTTCGTCCCTCCAACGTCGGAGGAGTTGTTGGCACAATCTCCCCCAAATCTTTAAGTGTGCTGAAGCAGAAGGAGCTTTTTTTCTTCCCATCCTCGTGGAGTAACCACACTTAAAATAACTGAGCCCGATTTTCCAATTAGCTGCTCTTTTGGGGCTTTTAATGCAAACCATCAAACCTTGGAAAGAGTTTGTTCTGGTTGAAGCATTTAACCAGAACCAGAAGGTTCCAAAAACCAACGTAATCACCAGTACCTAAATTAGCAAGCCGTTTATCCAGCCTTTAAAAAGTCCTTTTTTTTTTTTTTTTTTTTTTTTTTTTCTTCCACTGATAATTTTTCAGCCTGGTCACTGTTAAGGTAAAAATGGGTATTTTAAAGAGGTGGCGTGAATATTTTTTGCTCTGTATGCAAATGCATTTTTGAAGCCAAAAGAGGCCATTGTCACACAGATTTGCCTTGTTCCTTAAATGTCTTGTGATACTTAATGATGCCGCTTGTCCTTTATGCTCTAAGAAACATGGGGAGTCGTCACAGAATTGATCTGGTTTCATTGGATTTATTTTTGGAAACAAAGTAAAGAGGGACGCCAAGTAAATGCAAAATTTCAGATTTTATTTGTACAAAAATAAATTAATCAACTCAGTCTCATTTTCCTCCACTTCATAACAATGCTTTTTGTGTTGGTGTAGTCAAAACATTTCCATTACATTTCATTGCATTACATAAATTTGTAGCGTAAAAAAACCATCAATAGTTAATGGGGTGACCAGCAACAAAATTACTAATATGTATGAAGAAGACTCTTCTTCTAATTTTTGTTATTTTTCTCAAAGTGTTTGAGAGTAAATTTCTTATTTTTACCTGCTCAATAACATACAAAACACCAAATATTTTAATAAAAGAAACAAAGCATTTCTTAAAGGAATAACATGTCAAGCGCTTCAATCATTTTATGAGTTGATTGTTCTACATTTTCTTCTATTTTCCTTCATTTTGCAACATGATTCAGTCTTTCTTAAAAGGCTCTTGCTTCACTAAGCCATTTTTTATGAATGGATGCTCCAAAATCTGCCTTTGAGGGTTTGCCTGTTTGCCATCTGTCATGAAAACAGCTGTGGCGAGTGACACATTTCGCACTAAAACAAAATTCCATCAACAATACCCCATTTGCTTCTTCCCTGACCAAACAAACTGCAATAATTATTCAATAATTCCTTGGGGTTGCTAAAATTTTTCTTTAAGCATTTTGGTAGGACAATGTACCTAATTGAAGTCAGCATCGCAATATCAGTGTGCATAATGTTGCCACAGTTGCAGTGGACTGCTAGCATGCAATATTTGGAGGATATACTGTGTATTTCAAACGCAATGCAAGCAGATTCTGGATATTTGGCTCGCTGATTGAACTCTCCCTGCCAACAAGGCAAAGAAAAAAAGGAGTCAGGAAAATCTGGGTAGATCTTGATTGATATCCTTTACCTTCGGAAACAATTGTGCATCATTTTTCCTTCCACTTCACAGCTGTGCACTATTTTTCTGTACCCTTGCCGAGCAGAACCCCCCTACACCTATAGGGCCCCCCCAAAAAAAGAAAATTTGTGTAAACATTGTCGTTGTAAAAGAGCAAGAAGCATTTGTTGAGAAAATCTCGACATCCCAGCCTGTGCACTCAGGCAGCCACGAGCTACTAATGAAAGACATAATCTAGCACCAGCACAAACCCCAGCTGCCCCCTGTAAAATAAACCCCTCATTAATCCAAACACAAGTTCAGACTGGAGCCTCGGCGACCTGATGAGCAGTTTTTAAGTTTGTCAGGGTGTTTTCATGTTGCAACCTGTATGATCTTACAGTGACGGTGAGCTGCTTTACAACCATCTACAAGTTCATAGCCACTGCTGCTGCTCACGTCCACACACACACACACACACACACGCACACACACACCCACACACACACACCGAACTCCTTTCATACACACATGAACTCTGAAGTCATTTAATCTGCTGCAGGTTTGTCTATCTGGAAAGCTTGTATGCTTTCCTATGTTTGATGCACAAAACATGTAATTATGTTTTATGCTTAAATAATACAAAAAAAGATGCTCAGGCAGGACAAGGAGAGATAGGAAAAGCTAATTAACAGAAGTGCAAGCCATCTAATCACTGCTGCAGAGCAACGCTAAGACTAATGAGGCTTTCCAAGAGAAGAATACTTGTTCCATAAAAAGTTACATGGAAATATATGCGGAAATGTTTTCTGTTTTAATTAGAAATCTCTTTCTCACTGTCTCTGATAAAATTAAAATTAAAATAAAAAGTGTGAACAGTAGGGATCTAAAGGCTGAGAGCTCTGTGCAGAAACGTTCCCCACATGCACACTGCACTCCCTCCGCTTTCCACCCCCAGCTTCCACGTAAACACACCCGCGGTTCACCAAACTCAGACCCCCGATCACACAAAAAGCCCCCCTCAATCTGCCCAGCTGAGCCAAAGCTTCCGCTGCTTCACAATTTCCCCTCCAGGCAGTGAGGACATAAGCCAGCGGGTCATTTGTGGATGGATCATTCTTCCTCTCTCTCTCTCTCAGCGGGGTTTGTGAAGCGTTGAGTCAGCTCTTACCTTCATATCCGGAGCAGAGACAAATCTGGACGAACAGGAGAGCCAGTGGCCACAGCTCCATGTCAGGACGGGCGATTTTTAACGTGCAGGCAGCTTGCGAGGAAAACTCTCAGCGCATTCCTGCTTTTTTTTTTCCAAAGAGCCCGCCTCTTGCTCCAGAAACAAGGGAGGATTCTCTTTAAAGCAGGCAGGGCATCCACCGGCGTTGAGTCAGGGGAGCAGGGGTAAAGACGGGGGGGGCGGGGGCCCCGGGAGAGCCGGGGCCTGACGTGAACAACCACACATTCAGCTGCAATGCAGCAATAAAGCTATAAATGAACTGAAAAACAAGTTTAGCATTATTCATGACTGTTAAAACAAACAAACAAACAAACAAAAAATAGATTATTTAATTCAAAAATTACTGATTTTTTTCAGGGTCAGTCAAATCCGAAAGTATTCACACCCCGGTAAGATTTAGATTTAGCCATTCAACAAAGATTATTTCTGATAGGAACAGACAAACATCCCTCAGGAAAAATAAAATCCCTTTTAATGGCTGAACAACGTTTTGAACATTTCTACAGGTATTTTAACAGTTTATGTTAAAATACCTGTAGGCCACCTCGTCTTCATCCTGATCTATTTTTTTTCCTTCACAGACTGACAAGGTTGGGCTCCGAAATGTTAACATTACTTCCACTCAAAAGAAAAAAATAGTCTCAAAATAAAAGGATTGCTTTATATTTGAACTCCACAATGTATAAAAATCACAATTTTTGTTTGGAAATTTGCATTTTAAAAAATTTAAAATGCAATATGCATTTTTTTGGTGAGCTTTAACATAACTGGTGTCATGCACAAAATCCCTACTTGCTAGTAACATTACATCCTTCATGTCCACACCTGAAATACATCTTGGTCACGAACAGTAGGGGGAGGTTAACTTACAAAAATCAGCAAAAATATTAGAATGTCACGCTTAAATACTGAAGACCTACTTTAGGCCTGAGTATTCAAATCATTTTGAAATGAACTGCTTGACAAAAGGCGGATCCATTTCAGCTTCTCTTTTTAGTTTCAGACTCAGTGCTTTGAAAAAGTATCTCTTGTCACATTCAATATCAGTCGCATCTTGTCACAGTACATGCAGTACTAAGTGCATTTTATTGATCATTAGTATTCATGAGGTTGTTATGCTGAGTCAAGTCTGTCTTTTTGTTTCTATCAAGGAATGCAGAGCTGATGTTTTCTTTATAAATTCGCCTCCTCTTTTACTCCATTTTCTTTACCTGCCTGCTTCAGACGGCATTCAACGATAGGAGCATGACTAATCGTGCAGGGAAAGTAAAGTGACTCACTAAAAGAACTCTACATCAAGCAGATGGAAATGGAAGGAGTATACAAGAAGCAATCAAGCAAGAGAAAACAAGCTTATTGTCTTTTGTTTTGTTTTTTTTTTACAGATATTAGCCTTATAAACACACAGCTCTGATTTGTTTTCTTACACCATTGTTTAATATAGATGCTCCACTATAACTGAACTGAAATAGCAAGCAGTAAAAGCAGCAAATATTCAAACAATACCAGAGTTTCATATGTCAAATATTTTAAAAATAAAGTAACTTTCATTTTAATAACCTGAACTTACTTCAACTGCACTTCCTGAAACGTCTTGCAGAGACTTAAGTTTGAGACAGTCCAACATTAAACAGCACAGTGCTGACTACAGTCTCGAATATTTATCACAAGTGCATCTCAATAAATTAAATTTCTTTAAAAAGTACATTTACTTCAGTAATATAATTTAAAAAGTGAAATTCAAGTATATTATGGATTCATAACACCAAAGGAGACATTTTAAGAATTCACGTCTTGAAGCTGAGGATTAACCCAAAGCCCAAAACTCACTTCCTTGGAATGTTACATAAGAACAAAAGAAGAGTTTTGATTTAGAAATAAAATATATTATAATACATATCAGTATATGTATTACAATATTTGTTCATATAGTATATATAACAATGTTCTGTGTCCTCCTCTTCCTCTTCTACTTCACCCTTTTAATAAGTACGGAAAGTTATGTGGAAGGAAAATCTGATCAATTATCATTAAAATTAGCAGAAATTAGATGCGTAATGAATTTATGTTTTATGTTTTCCTCTTTGAATCAAATTGCTGAAATACGTTGACTTTTCTATGTGATTTTTCAGCGAAAACTGTACAATATATCAAATTGTACAACCAGGTACAATCTGATATACTGTGTGATGTATTGTTTGATTTGACTGTTTTCCTGGTTGCGTGTCATCTAGTGTAACACCAGCGACTGTAACTGACTGAGTGTGACTGGCAGTGAGGGGAATTGTTGACCCGATGTATTTGCACATTATTAAAGTGCAACAATACTGATGTCCAGCAGGAGGCAGCAGCAGAACATGCTCAAAAAGTATCAACTTTCCTCCAAAAAAACAACAAAAAAAAACAAATATTTCCTGCCTCCAAGATGGCCACAGACGAGTGTCCACCTTAAGGCATGAAATCTCCAGTTCAGAAACCAGTATGTGTCACCAACAGTATGGGCAGGTGAGGCAGTAGGGGTCACTGCAGGTCCAGGTACTGAGGCAGAACGTCGTTCCAGAACTGCTTGGATTCTTCTGGTTTCTTCTCCTCTGCGTCTCTCTGTTTGCTCCTCGGAGCGGCTCTGGGAGCTTCTCTCCGTTTCCCTGAAGGAGAAGAAGAAGACTGTGGCTCCGCCCCCTTTGATCCTGTTGATTTCTCTCTCTTCTTCTGTTTCTTTGCTGTCTCTTGCACTTCTTCCTCATCTTCTTCTTCCTCATCTTCGTCCATTTGATCTTCTTCCTCCTCTTCCTCCTCTACTTCACCTTTCTGCATTTGGTCTTCTTCTTCCTCCTCCTCTTCTTCCTCATATTCTTCCTCCTCCTCTTCCTCTTCTACTTCACCTTTCTGCGATTGGTCTTCTTCCTCCTCCTCTTCTTCCTCATATTCTTCCATTTGTTCTTCCTCCTCCTCTTCCTCTTCTACTTCACCTTTTTCCGTTTGTTCTTCTTCTTCCTCCTCTTCCTCTGCTTCTTCCTCTTCTTCTTCCATTTGTTCTTCTTCCTCCTCTTCCTCTTCTACTTCGCCCTTCTCTGTTCGTTCTTCTTCCTCCTCCTCTTCTTCTGCTTCTTCCTCCTCCTCCTCATCTATTTCCTCCTCTTCCTCATTCTCCTTTCCTTTTTCCACACTTGCTTCCTCTTTGTCTTCCTGGTCATCTTCACTTTCTTCCTCTTCCTCGGAGGCAGAGATACTTTCCTCTTTTCCTTCCTCATCTTCTTCCATACTTTGCTCTTCCTCCTCACTTCTGCTCTCTTCATCCATTCCTTCATCTTCCTCATTCCCTGTGCTCCCCTGTTCCTCTTCCTCGTTTTCCTCCTCTGTGTTCTCCCCTTCTTCCTCCTCCTCATCCTCTGTAGCCTCCTGTTCAGCTTCTTCATCACTTGAAGAAAGCTCTCCTTGCTCCTCCTCTTCCTCACTGACTTCTTCCCCCTCTCCTCCACTCTCCTCTTTCTCAGTTTCCTGCTCTTCATCAGACTGCCTCCGTTCCTCGCTTTCTTCTTCCTCAGACACCGCCGTGTCACTTCCCTCCCCGCCCTCCTCTTCTTCCTCCTCCTCCTCCTCTTCACTCTCACTATGCTCTCTCTCAGATCCTTCGCCGCTTTTTTCTTCTTCATCCTCACTCGCCTCACTAACTTCCTCTCCTTTACTCTCATCGTCACTTTGCTCTTCACTTCCACCTTCGTCCTCCTCGGCTGCCTCACTCGCCTCAGAGTGACTCACTCCTTCACCCGTTTCCATGCTGCTCTCTTCTTCCTCACTCTCTGCATCCTTTGTGTCACTTTTGTTACTTTCTTCACCTTCCTCCTGAACGCTGGAGCTTGTTTCTCCCTTGCTCTCCTCTCCTTCTGACTCACTATCTCGCTCATCATCGTCATCGTCTCCAGGTTCACTCCCCCCAGCAGCCTCGCTGCTTTCTCCTTCCTCATCCTCGTTTTTGCTTCCCACGTCACTTCCCAACGCTTCTTCGTCTTCTTCTTGCTCTTCATCACCGGTGTTTGTTTCAGTCATCTTGGAATCACCTTGCTCTTCAGAGCTTTCCTCTTCTCCTTCTTTATTTTCAAAAGTTTCTTCCTTCCTGATCTGCTCAGCCAGTTCCTGCACTGACGGATCATTGAATTCTTCCTCATGTGCATCGTTTCCTAAATCTGATAAGATGCTCATTTGAGCATCCTTCTGTGTGCTGTCCTCCCTTTCCTCTGAATCAGAGAAGGACGGGTGCATAGTTGCACTCTGCTTTGTGAACTGTCTGACTTTCGGTGTTTCAGGTACTGGAGAGGCAGCTCCGTCGCTGTCGGCCCGGAAAGCCTCCACACGAGTCACGGCCTCGCTCAGGAGGCCGACGGCTGCGCCTGCGACCCCCGCAGCAGGTAGAAGAAACGCTGCGTCGCTCAGAATCTCTCCCCACGTCTGTTTTCCTTCCTGCAGGTCTTCATTCTCTTTCCTTTGAGTTTCAGGCGCAAGTGTCTCCGTGGATTGCAAAGATTTAGCTTTGCTGCCGGAAAGCGCCCTGGTTCTTGTGGGGCTTTGTGAGGAAACTGCATTGCTCGAGACTTCAGAAGCATCTTCATGATGTGAAGAGATCTGGCTGGGAGCCTCGGTTGTTTTAATCCTGGGTTTGGCTTTGCTGTGACGATCCGAGTCCACATCAGCACAGTCTTCCTTCCCTCTTTTTCTCTGTTTAACTTTAGGTTCTTCTTCCTTCTTTTTCTTCTTTTCAAGTAAATTCTGTTTTTCTGACGTTCTGCCTTCAGTTTCACCTCTTGTGTTTTTTGCATATATTAACGCATCCTTGTCACCTTTTTTAATGCTTTTACCTTCAGCAGAAGGTTTTTCTGCAGGCTTACTCTGATTTTTGTCTGGTTTGGGTTTAATCACCTTCACAGGTGTCGATTTCACACTAAAACCCTCAGCCTGAAGAGACTTAGTCATTTCTGCAGCTTCAAGTTTTTGTGATTTTAAAGGCACTGCTGTGTTCTGAATATTTCTCAATGTGCGTTCAACCTTTTTCTTTGTTGGAGTGGACTTGAGTCGCTTTTTGTCCTGCTGCTTCTTCACTTCAGCGGATTTTAGATCAGCGCTTTTATTCTGGATCACAGCATCATCCTTTGAGATGTTTTCAGTGGTTATTTCCTTAACCTTTAGAGTGGAGCTGATCTTGTTTGAAGAAGATGATATGTTCGTTCCTTTTGGAGTCATGTTTAGCTCTTTCTTAAAAGAGTGCTCTGTCAGCTGATCTTTTTCACGTTTTTTACTTACTTTGGTCATTGTTATCGGCACAGGTTGTTGTGTTGTTGCACTCTTCTTGTCATGTTTTGTCGATTTTATCGTATAGAGCTTGCTTTGGCCATCTTTTGCTTCTGGAGGTTTTGTTTTGCTGTTGTTAATGTTCTGACGGTCTTGAGATGTGACTTGTGTTTTTTTCTTCCTGCTTTTCAGTGACGACTCTTCTTCCTTTCTGGAGTTGGAGCCTGTCAGAGCCTCTGCTTTGAGGTGTTTGGGCGAGCTTTGGCCACTCTTCTGGTCTCCATGAACCTCCAGCTCTTTGGCAATTTGAACTCTCCCGGTTCTGGTTTCCTAAAAGACAGCATTGAATATTTTTTATGTGGATTGTAAAAACATGTAAACAGGAAGGACAAAAGGAGATTCTCAACATAAACTTGAGCTACAAATGTTGCTATTAATGACTGAGGCAAACATTTTAATAATTCTAATATAATCTTTAACAAATCAAAGCACAAAATATTAAAATTATATATACATTGTTTAGAAAATACATTAAATTGCTGGGGTTTATTTTAAGAATAAATGCAAAGAAACTTTTGTGCAAAGTTTGCACAAAAAGTTGTGCAAACTTTTGGGGGTTTTGTGCAAAAACTCCCAAAAAACTGCTGTCTTGTCTCTAAGCTCCTCCAATGGATTATCAGATATCACTGTGTCATGTTCATTTTTGTGTTATAAAGTTTTCACAAGTGATTTGGGGAATTTTCTGTTTGGGTGACCTTTAAACAATAGTATATATTTTTATTTTAACAGCTAAAAGTGTTTTTACTACAACAGTGCCAAATTCCCTGCAGTGAATGTGACCAAAATAGGTAGAAATTTTGGTACGTCAGAGCTCAGAGCTGCTGTTCAATTCATGCAGGGCAACTTCTACTTGTGTGGGATACGACTCAAGACCTTGTGGAAAAATGCCAAGAAGATATGAAAGAAATGGACACTGCTAAATGCAGCACAATTTGGAGTTAACAAAAAAGTACTGTAACAGGCCTCAAACATACACCTAGAAATCCAAAGGGATGGTTCAGATCAGGCTTCCTCCAATCATTCCTCAGGGAATGATTTAGATGTGTCCCTGGTCCAACACACCTGAATCAAATGGCTGAATTACCTCAACATGAGGTCAAGTTCTTCAAAGTCCCGCTAATAACCTGACTGCTTGATTCACGTATGTTGAAGACAAGACAAGAAAAGTTTCAAAGTTTTCATTTCCAGCCTTGGAGGCTTGGACATAAAAATCCCTGGTTTAGATTCTCACTTTTATACCCAAAACTACAAAAATATCCTAAAGTTTGACATGTAAAACAATATTTTACCACCAAAAATAAGATATTTGCTGCCAACAGTGGCTGATGCAACCCAGGTCCTGTGTTAGGTCTTTTTATTTCCTATTTCTTTACGGCATGACTTTCAACGTTGGTCTGCACAGGATTCTGCCACTAATGATTTCAGGACAAACATCAGGTAAAAAAATAAAAGAAGAAAAACTCATTGAAAAACTTTGTGGTTTGTACCAGGCCAACTACAAATGTCAAGGTGACTGGAATAAATTACAAGAAAGTGAAGCAAAATGCAGCTTAATGTTTTGTTATTTTCAGACTCTATTTGGCTTATAATCCATTAAATTCAACCCTCATGTACAGAAGCAAACACGTCTGTCGCTGCTGAACATTCACACCCTCTGTGTGAGACAAGACTGGGTCACTGGACGCCACATGTTGAACAAACCTGCTGCGCACAACAACAATGCAGGACACTGCTTGCTTCAATGCTGGCTGTGGAAACACTGATGAGATGTGGCTTGGTTGCTGCCAGCTTTTCAGAAACGCTGTGTGTGTGTGTGTGTGTAGGTGTGCGTGTGTGTGTGTGTGTGTGTAGGTGTGCGTGTGCGTGTGTGTGTGCGTGTACATTCCTGAGTCTGAGTAAACACACTCTGAAAAGCTTAATTAATGCTTTTCAGAGTGTGCTGACAACTGAGAAATCACAATTCAATTTAACATCTCACTTCAGCTTTAAACCGAGTGGGAAAACTCCTGTGCACCATGTGCTTTCCACAACACGCAAACACACACGCGCATTTACACACGGTACATATGCTGAGGTAAGCAGATTTCCTGGAAAAGTCGGTGAGCGTTCAACTCTGCTGCTTCCTGCCCTGAAGTGCTTATAATTTAGAGCAGAAAGAAGAAACCTAAAGTGGATAACGACGCTCAGCAGAGTGAGTTTTAATGACTCTATGCTACATCCATCTCCTCCACCAAACATCACAGCCTTGCATAAGCTAATAAAAACCTCTTCTCTCACCATATATGGCAAAAAATCCACATGGTTTCTCTCATCTTCCACTTCTTGAGAGATTAGCTGTCCCCTTCGAGCTTCTCCCTCTGAAACAAGAAGACTTTATTGACTGCAGATACTTTAGTTACTTTGCTTGACGAAAGCATGAGTTCAAAATACCTGTTTGTGATCCTTGCTGGTCCAGGTTATTATCAGAAACACGGATGACGGGTCTGTTAGGGCTGCAGGGTTTGTTAGGTGGGAAAGCGTCAGACGGATTGTAATTTAAGCCTCTGCATGCTGCGCTCCTCACAGCCTCTTCAGAACAGGCAGGAGTTCTTGAGTTATGATTAGCTCTAGACGTAGATGAAGATACAGAAGAAGGCAGCCTTTTGGATTTGGACCTGGAGGAGGCGGCAGCGGAGGCTTTACTCCGACATGAGAGAGATGATTGTGTACGTGGGCTTGACGGCTTGGAGGATACGGACTGAGATCTAGGGGATAAAAGCGGGCTTGCTGGTGTCGCTTTGGGGGAGGAGGTGGGGGAGGGAGCATCCTTTGGAAGCTGCTTCAGGTTTGGGATATTTCTGGACGTCTGCCAGGAGGTGCTGAGGAAGCCAGAATTAGGACGAGGTTGGGTCTGAGGCAACTCTCCAAACAGCTCCACAAAGCTTTTCTGCAAAGGCAAAACAATCTCAGGATTAAAGGTTTGAAATTCATCTTTGTGGCCTCCACAGCACAGCAGAGTCGGAAAAGCTGTGTAATGCTCCTCCCTGCTGGAGCTAAACTGTGACTGCAACCAAACAAGAAATATTTTCAGGTTTTAATTGAATTAAATTAAAACCTATTGTTGTTTATTTTTCATATTATTGAAGTTATTTTAGCAGAAACATGCAGCGATTACAGAAGACTTCTATTTTTAGACGTATTTCTGGACATCCCACATGACTGTGCTCTTAAAATGAGCCGTGAGGCGTTAGGTTCTCACTTTTTTTCTGTGGCGAGCCCGAGCGGCTAGCGCTGAGAGAGGCACGACTGGAGCTGGGCCCATCGGAGAGCCTTTGAAGAGGTTTTCAGGGTCGTCCGATTCCCAGAAGAAGTCTGTAATTGCAGCATCCTTTTGTGACTCAACACCCTGACTCTGTGCTGCTGGCCTGGGGACAACCAGAACCAGAGTGTGGTGACCACCACAGGACACCTAAATGCATGAAAGACACATAATAGTACAGTTGATTATTGTCCATTCACTTGCAGGATTGAAATTGCACATTTTGGGATTTATTGTCTTATTTATTGTGTTAGCCTTTAACTTTTTCACACTTTTTCACCTTACAAACAGTGTAAGGTGAAAAACACTTACTTTTGTGACATGGGTGTTTTTAGGCAAAGCATCTGTGAACATCATTCAATCTCAAGTCCTTCCACTGATTCTCAGACTTTGACTGGGCCGTTCTAACTCACTAAAAATGTTTTGAACCAAGCAGCAGCGTTGTAGAGCTTAACTTTAGATGTCTATTTCTATATTTTAACTCTACTTCAAACTTCTCCATGCCTTTCCCCACTGTGTTCCTCGGTCTTCATCATACGGTTTGTTTAACGTTCATATTATCCACAGAACAAATGAATTTATTCTGAGATTAAATCACACAAAGTCGGATTCTATTCTCCAAACAGACAACTTTTGTCTGCAATTAGGCATCAGTTTTAAAAGTGTTGAATTCACAGAGAGACTATGCATATTTTTTTTTTAGTGAAAGTCTTTTTAACCTATTGATGAATTTCTTTCCACTTCACAACCATGTACTATTATTTTTGCATTGGTAGTCATAAAAATAAAAAAAAATCAAGAAATTATGACGGGGATGTGGCTGTAACATGAAAAAGTGTGGAAAAAAGTGCACCAGGTGAGAGTATGTTTTTGAGACACTAAAGCAATTCATTAGAATGATAATTCTGACTTTTAAAAGTGTTTTTCCATTGATGTTTTCAGTTTGTGAGACTCCTAACTTACTGACTGCACGCTGTACTTCAGGAAACGGGTGCACAGGGTTGGGCTGAACTGGTTGATGAAGTTCTCCTGCTGTAAGCCCAGTTTCCCATAACGGCCATCACCAAATGTGTAGAGCAGTCCAGCATCTGGAGAGGAGATGGAAAAATTGGCATTATTTGACAACAAAATATATTTACAATTAAAAGATCATTTTAAAAAAAAGAACACAAGGTCAGCATTTCAGGTCATTTATGTTGTTTTTCCTGGAAAACAAAATAGTGAGGGTGAGGTAACAACAAAGTGATTTTTTTGTAATTTTACATTAACACACTGACTGCTCACAACCCCTCCACATAACCCAACTTCAAAACATCTGATCATACAGTTCCTGCCGTTCGCAGCACAACAAATGTTCATGCGGGGCCACAAAAGTGAAATAGCATTTTCAAATGACAAGAGTGATGGCTGGTTTACTCGTAATCACAGCAGTGTGGTTTTCTCCGCAGGCGATGCGTCTGGCGCTGCTGTTGTGGAAGCGCTCCAGCGGTTTTGGCAAATGAAGTTCGAACTCAAACGTCCCGTGGCCCAGCTGACCGTACTGGCCTCTGCCAAACGTGTACACGTCCTCCTCTGTCTCAGGAACACAAATATGGCAACGCAAGACAAGAGAAACGTAACCAGTCACAATTAATGGTCAACTTACTTATCTGCTGTACAAAAGTAGAAATCAGTTATGTTTGCTCTTGTTTGACCGGTTTACCGATTCTATTTTCAGAACAATAATTGCACTTTTGGTTCAGTGAGATGAATACAAATAGTGAGCAAAGTTTAAGGGATATTTACCAGCAGTTTTTTTAACCACCGCTTTATTTATTCAAAATAGGACAATTCAGAGAAACAGAGAAATTCATAAAGTATATATTATCATGTATTTATTCATGATGAAATAATTGCAATTTGAATTGCAATTGGCCGACCAACTGGCCGACCGATCAATTGATTTAGAGGCACCAAGAACATACATTTTGACCATTTTCTGTTATTTTTATTTGATTTCTCCATAAAATTACAACTGAAATGAAACATATACTACAAGGAATATGTTGACATATTACTGCTAGTAACACTACTCCCTTTTTATGCCAATTTTCCACAAATGTGAAATTTTTACGTGCATTTTAAATCATCGGCAAGACAGAAGTGTAATTTTTTTAGTTTAACCATAAAGAGGCCCTATTAAAACTATACGAGTTATGTCATTGTAAAAGGAAAGAGATTTTGTCTTTTCAGTTTATCCTGTCAACACACCTGTTAGTACCACAGTGTGCTCCCTTCCACAGCACACCTGAATGACACTTCCCATGATGCCGTGCACTTGCTGAGGGACTCTGTGATTAGCCAGCTGCCCCACCTGGAGCCCGAGTCGTCCATTAGCGCTTTCACCAAAGGTGTAAAGTCCACCGTGTGCTGAAACAGAATTATTGATGAATAAAATGTTAAGAGTCTGGTCTAACTGGGTCAGAGCGGGTCTGGGTTTGGTCCAGCTGCATCGTACCTGTCACAAACGCTGAGTGGCGATGTCCACAAGATACCCACATCACTGCCTGCCCCACATTCAGCTCTCTGGGTTCTGCTGCAAACGCCTTGCCCCCTAAACCGATTTGACCCACGGAGTTGTCTCCCCACATGAACAGCCTCCCTTCCTCTGCACACACACAGAGTAGAGCAAATCGAGCTCAACACCAGTCTGCATACGTTTCCTTTTATTTTTCTCTTGACGACTAATCAGACCTGTTAAGGCAGCTGAAGTGCTGCTGCCAGCAGCGAGCATTTTGACCGACTCACAAAACGGACGCAGCAGCTGAAAGGATTTAGTGTTCTTCTTGTGGCCCAAGCCGAGCTGTCCCTTCTGGTTCCTGCCAGCCCCGCAGATGCAGTGCTGAACTGAAACAAACAGCAAGTCAAGATCCAGTTCAAAAACAAGACATGTAAGGAACTAAATAGTTGGTTTTAATGCAGAAATCTGACAAATCGTGATTTGAGATTGTTGGTTTTACATCTTACATGTGCAGACCAGTGTGTGATCTCTCCCACAGGCCACAAGCTTCACCTTTTCAGACTTCAGTGCTGAGAAGTAGACAGCCTGTTATATCACAGGTTAAGTCTGACAAGGGTAATCTTGTAAATACAATCAAAACATACTTTTCAAATGACAATTTCATGTTTTAAGGCAGTAAAGCTATAAAAGTTTTGGGTCTTCTTGGATTTATCTTATCTACACTGGATGATTTCAGAGAATGTGTAACAAGTTTAAGGTACTGCCACAACAAATCAATTAGATTTATATCTGTCCTTTGACGAGGTCGCTCCTAAACCTGCATTTTAAAAAAATAACTGATCATTGGGAGACATGTCGGTGTGCTTTGGATCAATGACCGCCTGAATAAGTTCAGTCAGGTTACTGGTTGTGAATTGCTGGCCAATGTTCTTTATGATTTTCATGGAGAAAGCAGAATTAACCCTTTCATGCATAGTGGTCACTACAGTGAGCAGGTATCTCAACGCCATTTTCCTGTGTGCATATTATAAATGCACACAGACCACTAAAGTGGACACTAATGCATCATAAAACACACTATCAACTACCAGCCATCAGCTGCAAATGCAAGAAATTATTTTTGCATTTGCAATATGGCCAACAGACAACCCACCTTGTCATCTACAGTGATAAGGAGGGACATCAGATAGCCCCTAACGAACAATACTACTGATGTATTTTTCAAATAACACCTTTGTATTTGGAGAAAATAACACTGAATCATCTAAAAAATATGAAATAAAATAACTAATTGTTCTACATTTTTTCCCCTACCTTCTTTATGCCTTAAGAAAATTGAAAAAAAAACATAAATACAAAATTGGAAAAATTCCTGACACAAAGGATCATAATTTGTGCATGAAAGGGTTAATGGTTCCAAAAATTGTGTAACTGGATTAATTGGGTTTTTCAGGTCCGATTGTAGAAAAACATCCCCAGACCGTCACTGTCAGGCTTGGCTAAAATGCTGTATTGGTTTTTGGTGAGAAGTAACAGGACACAACTTTAAAAATAAAAAAAGAACATAAGAGTTGACCTTGAAACTCTTATGGATAAGGCCAATTTGTTTTTGTGTTTTATGAAATTTTGTTTGATTATGTGAAACATTTAAGCACGACACAAAGTAAGATGAGAGCATGCATTTCTAGCTGTATGTTAAGGTGGGCTGTATTTTTCAGAATTTTTTTTTTCCTAAAACACAATTATGCTCTCATTTGTGTTGAGCTGTTATATAAGAGCCCCCAAAATACAAGACACTATGTTAGTAATAAAAACTTACAACATTTGGTCTGTGTGGGTACCTTTCACAGAGGTGGGTTTCTTGGCATCTGGTTTTATCTTCAGTCCCAGTTGGCCACCAGTATTACCACCAAACATGAGCAACCTCCCATTTTCTGCATAATTATAACAAAAGTCTGATTTTATTTACTTTTTCTTTTTTCAGCCAAAATAAAAAAATAGACATCCTGAACCAGAAATCCGCCTCTGACTGAAATGTTTGTGTATGTACCTGTGAGCACAGCACTGTGCTCTGCGCCGCAGCATGTCTCCACTAGACGGTCACTTTTCAACCAGAACTGACTGGGGACGTCGTCAGCAAAGCTGCTCTTCCCACATGTGAAGATGGCCCCTGTTTCTGAGGGGGAGGGCGGTAAGGAAACAAAAAGCGTGTGTGAGTCACCTCTCTGCTGCTGCTGCCCTGACACAGGATCGGCCCTTCAAATCTAAGCAGGTCAGCAAGTTACCGCAGTTGTCTAAGTGAACGAACGGCCCAAATCCCAGCACAAGCTGCTGTCAACTCTCAGGAGATTTAAGCGGCAGCGGATACAGAAATAGCAACAGGTTTACGAGGTTTGCACGGTAGAAATACAGAAACTGACACTTTAAGGAGGAGAGGATGTCTACTCCTGCGTGTGTTTTATTCTAACTGGGCTTGGTTGCAGCTCACCGGGTATGTCTGCCTCGGTCCGGCCAGGCATCTCCGCCGCGCTCCCAGTCTGCGCGCCGCCGCTCTGCGCACACTGCGCAGACTGCGGCTGCAGATCAGGGAGAGCTCAGACCGGACTAAGCTGGACTCGTGAGACCCGTGGATCTGACATACAGAAATAAATAAATAAATAAACGACTATTTGGCTTGCAAAACACTAGAAGACGCAATAAACAACTTTAAAATAAAATAAAATTAATTCAGAGGCTTTACAATATTTTTAATCCTAAATAGTAGCCTACAGAAAGGAAAAGTTTTTTTAAAAAATAATTTTACTGGCTACTGTTTAGTTTGGGTGGTTTGGGGTGGGGGTCATTTTCAACGATTAAAACTTTATAACTTTTATTTGAGGAACGTCGGACCAAAGTAACGAACAAAAAAAAAGATTACCTCTGATAATAAACTTTTTGTTTGTTTGTTTGTTTGTTTGTTTCGCTTTCCGTTGCAGGATGGTGACGTCATGGCCGCTACATGTGCTCGGATGTGGGTCCGCTCCTCTTCGTTTAACCGGGGAGACGGTTGGAGTCATATATATATATATATATATATATTATATATATAATATATATATATATATATATATATATATATTATATATATATAATATTAGCCATCATTCTGCCAATTAATGACCCTTCAATGGTTCCACCAACCCTAAACTGAGCTCCTAGTTTCTAGCTGCAGCTAGGAGAATATTAAGATCACTTTCCACCCCCAATCAGCAGCTTAAATCTCTCTTAAGCTCCACCCACTCTTAGAACCGCAAAGTCCCCACCCCCGCCCCCACCCCGGCGATTAAAACGTGCGGACCCCCACGACTCACTGATCCAAAAAGTCGCTGATCCTTGCGCTCTTTTGAATTTCTTTTCAACTGCGATGCCTTTAAATCTTTTCTCTGTCAGCAGTTGCCTTTTAAAATGTTTGAAATCTTTTCATTACAGCCCGCAAAGAGGATTTAGGTAAGTTTATTTTGAGGCGATTGCACAAAAAAAAAAAATCTCTTGTCATAATTGCGTGGTTGTGCAAATCTAAATCATGCATTATTGCTGCCTTCTCAGAGGTGGAGCAGCTTCCTTAAGCTCGGCGAGTTTAAAGGGTCGCAGTTGTCTCACACTTAAAGATTTCAGCTCCGATGAAATCAAGAGGCTGCTGTGGGTATCAGCGGACCTCAAGCATCAGATAAAGCATGGAAAGCAGGTATTTAACTAACAGGGAGCATTTATTTATTTTTTTTTTTCTGGTAAACAAGTTCATATTTGCTTTATGGGGTTTTGAAAGAAGCCAAACGCTATTTATATTTCAGTATCTGCCTCTTCTGCAAGGAAAGGCGATTGCAATGATATTTGAGAAGAGGAGCACCAGAACAAGAATGTCCACAGAAACAGGTGCTCAAGTTTGTACATCAGCATCTGCGTGGGGATTTAACTGTGTTGCCTTTATTGCTTTTAGGACAGAAAGCAGCGTGACAGCGTGCGTTCTGGTATTGTTCTCTGCCCTCATCTTACTGTCTGTCATTGTTAACAGAAACAAAAGATCTGCTGAGAGGCAAATTTCCAGGGCAAGCCACTGGGTGCAGAAAGGGACTTCATTTTGTCACATCACAACCACAAGCTTCAAGTTATCCTGTTGAGGTTTTATAGTTTAGATCAACACATGCTTTTCATTACAACCCGCACAGAGGATTTAGGTGAGCAACTCCAGTTTATTTAGAGGCAATTGCACTAGAGGCGTTTATGAAGATTTGTTATTCTTTTTGAAACAAAAATCTAAAAGTGTCTAGCACTTTTTACTCTGACGCCTGCAAATTTTTTTTTAAAAAATCCAACCGATAATATTCAGAAGTCACCTACGTTCTAAACAAGAGTCCACCTGTGAGTAATTGTATCTCAGTGTGGAAAAAAAAAAAAGAGCGAGAGAGGTTTGCTGGAGAACCTTAGTGATCAAGTGGCATAATGAAGACCAAAGATCACAGCAGGCAGTTCAGGGACAAAAGAGTGGAGTTTAAACCAGCTGCTTTATATCAATAAAAAAGGAAAACACTGCAACTGTGCATCAACCTGGTAAAAAAATACAGACTGTCCTTCCATCAGGACACAACACTAAACACACAGTCAGAGCTACAAATTAACGTTTTAGATCAAAGAATGTTCATGTGTATGAATGGCCTAGTCAACGCACAAACACCTGAAGTTGTTCTTATTTTCAGATTGAAATTTGAAAACCATGCTTCAAAATAAATAAATAAATAAATCACAGGATAACCTATTGACATTTATGGTTGTAATGTAACAAAATAGTTTAGTGTAGGGGTTAAAAATATTCCTGTGAGACCTATTTTCTATTTAACGTGCAGTATGTACGTTCAAGAGTGTTGTTATTTTTATGTAATCATTTCCCAGAACCCGTGAGCCGATTCTGAATAGACAAGTTCATTCATATTTCAGGTTTTGCGTTGTTGGGTGGACACCCCTGCTTCCTAACCTCACAGGACATCCACTTAGGAGTAAATGAAAGCTGCACTGATACAGCAAGGTAACATACACACATACACACACACAACTATATTATGTTAACTTGTGGTGCTGCTGGTTTCACTGAAAGCGGTGTCTCCTATCTTTCTGCATAGGGTTCTCTCTGGACTTTGCGATATCGTTTTGGCGCGAGTTTACAGTCACTCCACACTGGAGGAGCTGGATCAAGAGGCTTCCATCCCCATCATTAATGGACTCTCTGAACTTTATCACCCCATCCAGATTCTGGCAGACTTCCTCACCTTGCAGGTGGCATTTTTCCCCAGCCTACTACAACTTTGACATATGATAAACTTCCTTAATCCCTGCTGTTTTCTTTTAGGAGCATTATGGGTCTCTTAGTGGACTTACGGTGAGCTGGATTGGAGATGGAAACAATGTCCTCCACTCCTTCATGATGACTGCTGCCAAACTGGGGGTTCATCTAAAAGTTGCCACACCGAAGGTCCGCCTCTTCTTCTCAGACCGTCGTGGGTTCTGATGGGTTTTTCTGTCTCACTGAAAGCGCCGTTCTCCACAGGGTTATGAACCGGACAAGGGTGTAACCGAAGAGGCGCAGAGGCTGTCCAAACACGTGAGGCCCCAGACTGCTCAAAGTCATTTATCGGTTAACAATATTCACCCTGAGTTTTTTTCTAATCGTGGTTCTGTCTCAGCACGGGACCCAACTTGTTCTGACCTCAGATCCGATGGAGGCTGCCCATGACAGCAATGTGTTGGTCACCGACACCTGGGTCAGCATGGGCCAGGAAGAGGAGAAGAAAAGGAGGCTAAAAGATTTCCATGGCTACCAGATTACAATGCAGGCAAGCAAGAGGCTTGTTTTATTTAATATCAGCTAAATTACTCCATAGTGCCGTCTCATACTTATCACTTGAGCCTTTTCCTTTATTTTCTCATGTTACTACCAATGTATTTTGTTGGGATTTTACATGACCTGCAATATTTCTTTGCAAAATATCTCAAGCTCAGTCAGACTGATAGAGAGGGATTTTAAATATACATTTCCAAGTCTTTCCACAACCTGAAACAGGTTTCTGTCCAGGACCTATAAAATAGCTCTATTCATCTTCCCCCAGAAGAAAAACACACCACACAGCATGATACTACCACCACCATGCTTCACTGTAGAACTGAGGTGTTCACGGTGCAGTGTTAATTTTCAAATTGATTGAGGAGTTTGAAGCTCCTCAATCATTTTCTCAGTGACTTGTCTGAGTTTCTGAATGCACAACATACTTTGTATTTTGTCCTTTTCTCTTTCCACTTTTGTGACAATTTGTGAAAGTTGGTCGCATTAAATCCTACTAAAGTGAGTTGATATTTTTGGTTGTAGTCTGAGAAAATGTGAAAATACAGTTTCTGGACACAAAAATCTAATCTCTATTAATTAGTTGTGTCACTCCAGCAACTTCAGAAAATATTTATTTATATTTTTTGTGATGGGGGGGTGAATGAACACAGACCGGAAATGTGGCCAAACCAGATTGGACCTTCCTACATTGCCTTCCCCGGAAGATGGAGGAGGTGAATGACCAAGTGTTTTACTCATCCCGCTCCCTCGTCTTTCCTGAGGCCGAGAACAGGAAATGGACCATCATGGTAAGGTAGCTGGTAGATACTTCATATTTACTTCTCATCATTATTTATGGGTACTAATATCAGCCGTTTTACCTTTTTCAGGGTTTGATGGTTTCTCTTTTGACCGACTACACTCCTCAGATCTCCATGCCAAAGTTTTAAACTTAAGGTGGAATTTATTTTGGACCTACTGATGAAACAACATGTGTTAGCAAAATTTGTGTTTACTTTTATAATTGTAATATTTACTAACAGGGAAACAGTTTCTGAGTTGTTGCAATTTATTCATCTGGACTTGATGGGGGTGCCAGCAATAAATGAAAGTATTGTGTGCGTTGTGATTGATTAATGTTGTAGTAAGATCACAACTTTATCCAAAAGCGTGTTTTGTGCAAGTGCGACACCAAGTGGTCAAAGTCAGTAACGTGTCTCGGTGTCTGATTGGAAGACGGTAGATGACGTGTTTTGCTTGGGATGGGAATTACGGCCCTTTTCCAGGATCCTAATAATATAGCCTGTCTCTGGACATAACATTTTGGTTTCATGTGCAGTAACTATGTAAACTTTGGGAATAAGATAATTTTCATTTACAAGACTGCACAGAGACACACAAGACAAACGACCATACATGCACACATTAATACCTAAGCGTAATTTAAAACCAAATTAACCAGACATTCATAATTATAGATAAACACTGAAATAAAGTGTAAGTTGCAGAAGTTTCTAAGGAAATGTTAAATTTGTGTTTATTTACGGAATGTTTTGGAAAAGAAACACATGATTAAAATAACACAAACTGTCTCCCACCTACAGGAGTGCTCATTATACTTAGTGAATCTGTCTCCCCTCTTCTCCAACCTCAGTTCTTTCACTATTTTATATCTGTATCATACAGATATGGAATATTTGCACATTTTTTAATACAGACTGTATGCTCATGTGAAAACAAAAAACTAATTTGTTGGTTATCCACATAAACGGATTCTAGTAAATGACAGCCCTCGTTTACATGTAATGAGCCGGCAATTAGAGCCGGCTCGGTTGCGAGCGGCACACTTGTAGCGGGAAGCTATGATCTCCGTGTGTGGTCCAGCATAACAGTTCATTCATAAACAGAAACCTCCGTCAACATGTACCCATTCATAAACATTGCTTTATAAACAAAGCAACAAAAACACACTACCTGTGGTTCTTCTGAAAAAAAAAAGAATCAAATGCACTTTTCATTCGTTTAATACACAAAGCATAACAACGATAAGACGTATTTGAATGAAACAAATTCGTTTAAAACAGGGTTATAACGGCACAGCTTCAATGGCGAAGCGAAAACGGAGCAATTTTCCTCGACGACCACCCACACAGAGAGAGGGTGGCAGCTCGGAGAGAGAGCTGGAGCTCAGGGTGGGAGGCGGCGGAGTGGAGAGGAGGAGGAGGACGCCATTGCAGCCACAGCTGGCCGCCCGAGATAAATCTCATACCATCCCAAACTCTTTCCATATTCACTGGCTTTGCCGTTTTCCTCCGGTTCGCCCCGCTTTTTGTCGGGTCTCGAGGAAATACAAAAACAAGATGGACGTCTCGTCTTCGCTGACAGTGGAAATGTGGAGCCTCAGCGCGGAACAAAAGCAGGTAAACGAGCCGAGTTGACGGGGGGACAATGGGGAAAGTTTTAGCCCAACTTAGCTAACTAACGGTAGCTGCAACCGCTTCGGAGTCTGGAGCTGGACGTTATCATCAACTCAGAAAGCTAAAAAATAAAATACAAACAAAATCACAAACGCTGCGCTCTGGGGTTCATTTTAACTACTATCATGATTATAAAGTTGTATTTGTATACATACACGGCAATTCAGGTCGGTTTCTGGTGCCAACATATTGAGATTTAAAGCCTCAATTTTCGGTCAAGTTTCGCTCGAGCTCAATCTTTGGGTGATTTACAAAATAGTTTCCATGTTGCGTTGGAACAGCTTCACAATCTGTCACTATCAGGTGAAAGACACAATTAAAGGCAACTAAAGTTCTGTCCCAACATAAGACAAAAACAAAATGAATCCACCATCTGCAATGGGTAAGCTGGACACATTTTAGGTTGATGCTTTCATGATGTTTCGTTATAAATTAACCAAAACTTGAAATAACTAGTCTGTAAAGAAACACGCGGACGTAAAAGATTCATAACTTATTTGTAATGCATTATTTAATAATTATAACTACAGTTGTAGCTCTTTTGGGGGGGCTTGTAAATGGGTTTTAATTTTAAAATGGGATCATATTCTCATTATTGAAGTAGTACTTGTAGAAAAAAAGGTAGACGTTCATTTCCATGGTTCTTGTGCAGTCTGGAAAAGTTAAGGATTTGATTACACCATTTTCTAGATCTGGAAAAACTAATCCACCCATTTATTTTCCATCCTTCCATCAATTCATGCCCATGTAATCCTTTATCTAAACATTTATTTTCCATCCCAACATCCACCCATCTATATTAGAAACTTAAATAACTGCTGTAAAATTTTCTAAATACACAAATTTATAAGAAAAAGTGTATGGGACCTTTATATTCTTTGGCCTCGTTTTGCTCAAATATACCGCAGTGTGTGAAACATCTCAGATTGTATCGATGAACCACACGCTGTGAGTGACTCACCACCTTCAAACGTGTTGCTTATTTTGAGTACAAATTTACTGGTTTCACCTTAGACTTAGCTTTTTTGATTTTCACCGATATAATTTCAACTAAGGCAGCACAGTTTATCATAATTATGTCATCAAAGCACTATCAATGTGTGCAATATTCATGTTGCAAAGGACAAGTTGGAGTGCAGTAATTGTTGGCTGATATATTCCAAGTCGGATGAAGTTGCATCTCACATGTTGATGTATTATTTAACAAGATGGACTGACTCTCAGGGCAGAGGATGCTCACAACAGACACAAACTACATCCCCCAAAATGCAAAATAGCACAGAATGTAGGAACTATGATCAAGAGTGAGAGGAATGAAGAAAATATGTGCACAGCTGATCATTTCAGTACTTACCAATATTATCAACCTTAACCTAACAGCATTTTTGTTTTTCCCTTTTCAGTTTAGACCTCCATGTTTCTCTAGAACCCTAAAACTTAAAATAAAACTTTGCTAACTGCAAGGGCCTCCATTGGTGGATTTTACCAGTTCATAATTACTGTTAAAATATAATAAAACATGACAACACATGCCAATCATAAGTGCTTAAATAGAAGTCATATTAGTTTTTACAGATTCTTTGCAGGCTAATCAGGTTCAGAAGGCTTTGCTATTTCAAGCTGAAATATTCTCAAATAATACTTTCATGGTATGTTTGTGTAATTTTGAGTTCCATCTCTTCAGACTTCCACAGTTGCCTCGCTGTCCGGTGGTCCAGTCACTCACCATGAACTCCAGTAGGAACTGCACCTCAGTGGGGAACGGCGATGGTCTGGCAGTCCTGGAGTCGGTGTCCATCGTGACCATCACGCTCCTGGCCTGCTTGGGGAACCTGCTGATCGTGGCCACTCTCTACCGCAGACCATACCTGCTCACGCCCAGCAACAAGTTTGTGTTCAGCCTGACCCTGTCCAACCTGCTGCTGTCCGTGCTGGTGCTGCCCTTTGTGGCCGTGAGTTCGGCGAAGCGAGAGTGGGTCTTCGGGGTGGTGTGGTGCAACTTCACCGCGCTGCTCTACCTGCTCATCAGCTCGGCTAGCATGCTGACCCTCGGAGCGATCGCCATCGACAGGTCGGTACCGGATCAGCCTGGAGTTGCGGTTAGACGAACTCTGCAGGTATCAATATCAGCAGATATTGATACATTATGTTACTGTTTTTTTATGTTTTCTGCATTTTGCCTGAAACAAATATAACATATTTCTTATAAAAGTGTTGGAGATGGTATTTGTGTGTATTATTATATTATCCTAAATCCTAAAACTGAAAAATCAAATTTGTTCATACATTTTCAACATTTTGATGACTTTTTGTTGTTTTTTTTTGTTGTTTTTTTTGACATCACAAACACAAATTTGAATGTATTTTAATGAGACATTCTGACACAAAATGTTGCATAATTGTTAATTGGAAGGTCAATTTTGAATAGTTTTGAAAAATATTTTCTGAAAATACGTGGCTTGTATATCCAATCAGCACCCTTTAGTCTGATACCCCTAAATAAAATGCAGTGGAACTAGTTGCCTCAAGCAGTTACTAAACTGAGTCGACTCATGTGCACAGTCAAAATCCAGCTTTTCTGTGAAGCCCTGAGAGGTGGTGGCAGCGTCATGCTGTGGATATGCTTTTTCTAATAATTGAAAGTGTGATGATCAGAGTTAATACAAGCGAAAACCTTTTAAAACATTCAACGGGCAGGTCAGCCACACTAAACACACAACTTTAACTCCAGTGAAATAGTTTGGATCAAAATCAAAGTTGAATGTTAGTAAGCTTTAGTGCAGATCTTAATCTAATCTGACTGAGTTTGAGCTATTTGTTAGGGAAGAATGGACAAAACTTTTCTCTCTAGAGTTTTAGTGCTGTTAGAAACAAGTATGTTTAGCACCAAATCTCTTTATGTTGGTGTGTTATATGAAATCAAAATAAAAGTGAAGCTTGTGAAGATGTTCAAGGGCTTTAATTCCATTCAGCAGGCAGCAAGAAGCAATATTTGATTTAAAGTTGCATGCCAGATTTCCCAGCCTTATTTAGTTTGTTTCTGCCTTTTGTTTTGTAAATGTGCAGCATGTCGACTCTCTCTAGCTTCCTCCACGTTTAGGCGCAGAACGGATTTGTGTCTTTTGGCTAATGGGAAATAATAGATGAGGAATCGAAAGCTCCTTTTTGTGGCACTCAGACACTGAACAAACAGAGTGATTTTACAATGACATTTTCCAGAATTTTTTATTTTTCTCTGTATTAAACATTTAAAATTCTTTGTGAAACTCTGGGAAGCGATCGACAGCTATTTATTTCACTTAAAAGTCTCAAGAGAATAAATATGTTGCTCATTAGGACTTATTATTTTCACGAACTGTACTTTATTTGAGCCAAATTCAGCATTTAATGCTACTTGAGATAACCTGTGTATTATTTCCTCTGAGCTCACAAAGCAGTGGTTGTAAATTTTCTCAGCAGCTCCCGGTCCACGGTGTTCTCACTGCTTTTCTAATTATCCTCCGCACCTTTGGGGGATTTCTGGTTACACAGCAGCTTTTTTGTTCTCCTGCCAAACTCCCGTCTGTCTGTTGTTTTCATCCTTTACCAAAACGCATTACAACGCTGTTAGTGGGTTCGTGCAGCTTTCGGCTCCTGTGTCGCCCTCTTCCATCTCAGCAGTCTCTGAGGTTTACAGATCTGCAGTCTCCCCCAACAACCACATTCAGCTGCTGTTTGACAGATTTCTCCATCTTGTTCTCATTTCATCCTGGCAGGTACTACGCCGTGCTCTACCCGATGATCTACCCCATGAAGATCACAGGGAACAGGGCGGTGGTCGTTATCGTCTACGTGTGGCTTCACTCGCTGGTGGGCTGCCTGCCCCCGTTGTTCGGCTGGTCCTCCTTCGAGTTTGACTGTTTAAAGCGGACATGTGTCGCATCCTGGTCCAGAGAGCCGAGTTACGCCGCCTTCTGGGTCACCTGGTGCGTCCTCCCGCCCTTCTTCATCATGCTGGTCTGCTATGGAGTCATTTTCCGGGTTGCTCGCATGAAAGCCAGAAAAGTTCACTGCGGGACGGTCATTGTAGCCCAAGACGACTCAACTGGAACTCAGAGAAGCGGACGCAAGAACTCAAGCACTTCAACGTCCTCTAACGGGAGCAGAAGGAGCCTTGTGTACGCAGGGAGTCAGTGCAAGGCCTTCGTCACCATCTTGGTGGTTATCGGCACCTTTCTCATAACTTGGGGGCCGTACGTTGGGGTGGTGTGCACAGAGGCCCTATGGGGTCAGGGCAGCGTCTCTGAGGAGCTGGAGACTCTGGTGGCGTGGCTCTCGTTCTGCAGCGCCGTGTGCCACCCGCTCATTTATGGCCTGTGGAATAAAACGGTGAGGAAGGAGCTGCTGGGGATGTGCTTCGGCGATCGTTACTATAGAGAGTCGTTTGCCACAAGACAGCGAACGTCCCGACTCTTCAGCATCTCTAACAGGATCACAGGTGGGACAGCAGCAGGGACTATAGTCTTTAAGGTCATATATTTTCATGAGTTGGATGTTTCTAATTATCAGTGTGCTCATAATGTGTTGAACATGTATTTTTTAAAAAAGTAGAAACCAAAAGTGTTGACTCAAACCAACTCACCCGTCCTGTTTTCACTGAGGTTCAACTTTGTCCAAACTTGGTTGCATTCACACGGCCCAACATTGGTGTCAGTGAATCTCTGCTGTTCAGTTCAGCTGGCAGGGAGAACTGAAAATGACGAAAAGAAAGACTGATTTAAAAAGAACAGTGGTGGACTGAGTATTGAGCCCTGGGGAACCCCAAAACTGGCACCAACATATGTTACACCAGAATATTGTATCAAAGTTCGCTGAGCATCAACCTGAAATCTGCAAAGGTTTTCCTATGAGCATTTGACTTATGTGAGAACAAATGATTTCTTTGTGAGTGTGTGTTTTGTGAATGTACTTGTTGTTTTTTCAGACTTGGGTATGTCCCCGCACCTGACTGCAATGCTGGCCGGAGGAGGACACCTGCTGGTCCAAGGAAGCAGCACAGGAGACACCGGCTTCAGCTTCACTCAGGACTCAGGCAGGGAACACACACACACACACACACACACACACACACACACACACAAGAAACACACGTTGGCTTTCATCCTGAAGGTTGACATAATTTCATCACATCATTCTTGATGGGATTATGTTCACATCAATCTCTCTTATCCATGTTGTGGTGCACACAGTCATGTTGTAACTCCAAACTGTCTCCAGTGAGTCAGGAGCATAAAACTATCACAATCAAACCAAAATTTCTCCCCACAAACTTTACTGAACAAACAGAGTTTACTTGTCATTTTCTCAGCTGAAAATGTAAAAACTTTTTGTTTTTGACAAGAAACAGAAAAGGTTCTGCTATACTATAATTTTATTAAGTCTGTCAGTATGGTAGTTTTTGTTATGGAAAACAAAAAAACTAATGTTCCTCTTCATTTTTAACAAAGATAAAGATATGTGACTTAAACCAAGAAATAGGCCTGTCTCTAGGTCAAATCTTTCTGGATGATAAATTGTCCCAGGAGTTATTGTGATGAACAATAGCAACAATATTTAAAGTAATATAATTAGTAATGGCATAAAATGCAAATAAAATCTGTCAAAGATCCATGAACTTTAATTTCCTCTAAACGTGTAACATCGGAACTGGAGGACATTTTAAATATTGAAGATAAAAAAGCAAAACAACCAAAACAGTAAATAAAATGCATACTAGAGTCCCTGTGAACAAAATTGTCCTTCGATAGAGGAGTTAGATGAGATCAATGCAGCAGAATGAAGACGTTTGTCATCCAGGCTTTGGTAGAAAGAGAAACACTGATGCAAACTGAGATTATTGAGCTTGGTTTAATTTATCATGCAATTAATTGGTTTATTGCTTATCGTGACAGGCTGACCAAAAAAGTCTATGCTAAGCCTCTGTGTTATATTATTGTTAAATAAATTAAAATGCTTAGCTTATAGAGTTCCTTCTACTTCATATTCCAATTTCTTATTTCAAATCCTGCAAATTCACTAACATTCTTTTTTTACAAATTTCTCTACCTAGCTTGAAGTAAACCCAATTTCTATAACTGTAAGATAACTGTGGCTTCAGGTTAGTCGTGGTTCCTCATACATTCCTGTTTAACAGCTCATGTTTCGGCTGGAGAGCCGGCATTCAGGATGAGCAAGATCACGCGCTTCTTGTTTTGTCGTTTTCCGACTGGGAGATAAAAAGGATCACAGGGAGCCGCCCTCTTTGCTTTACCTGCAGGCACCGATGTGATGCTACTGGAGAACTCCTGCACAGACGGCTCCTCCTTCCCCTCACAAAACGGGAATCCATCCGGGAAGAGGCGGAGTTCGGTCACCTTTGAAGACCAGGTGGAGCATTCCAAAGGTATCCCATCATTAAGTTCCCTGAGAACACCGCAGAGAGGCAACTTTTGGTTGGAAATCAATGAAAAACATGGCCACACCAAGCATGAATCCTGTTTTTTTGAATTTTTTCTGAATTACTTGTCATTTTCTCAGCTGAAAACACGTCTTCGGCCCAAGTCCACGCAGAGATTCACAAATCTCTCGACTCGTTCGCGTCCTGCTTGGCGAAGGCCATCGAGAGCGACGCCAAGCTCGCGCTGTTCGAGCAGAGTCTAACGCCGCCGGGGGGAGGGCTGTTTGTGACGAGGGGGTCGCAGAAGCCCAGATACCCCGACGGTCAGAGACTGAGGCTGCAGAGCATCGACGAAGGCATCGTCAAGGACGACAGAGAAGAGGAGGAGAAGGAGAAGCTCATCTGATCGCTGCAGGTTGGGCTGCACACTAAAACCCTGTGGTACGACTGATAAAGTCTGGATTCTCCAAAGTTATTGACAGACAAGACGAGGCACTTTTTTCACTCAAAGGAACACTGTCAGTGTCCAGGCGAATTTTTCTATCATGTTTGTACTTGTAATAGGAATTTTGTACTACTGTAACCTTACATGGTAATAATGTTTTGCAACACTTTTTTTTTTAATTATATATTTTTAGTACGTGCTGTGGTCAGTTTGAGTAAAAAAAAAAAAAGAGAAATTATTGAAAAAAAACCAACTAGCAAATCTTTCACCTCAGATTCAATCTGCTAGTTTCTCTCATGCAGATGTTTACAGTCCAATTAGGTTCTGTTGCAGCAAAGCTTCTTGACCCAGTTTTAGGTTTCCTACCAGCACAGGTAACCTGATCAGGACCGTTATTTTCATGATGCTTCTAAGCCTTGGGAATATAAATGTTTTTTTTTTTTTTTTCAGGTTTGATCAGTATCAAAAAAGTAATGTATTGATTCAAAATATTTTATTCATGCGTATTTTTTCTAAAGACCAAACTGAAATCCTCGTTCTGACTTCAGGATAAAATAGTCATGAATAAATTAAATTTTTATGTCAACTTGGCTACTTAAAACAAAATAAATAAATTAAAAAAAAACACACCTTTTTGGACAGGCTTAAAGCAAATGCATGAATGCACCAATCAGGCATAAACTCCTTATTATCAGTGCACTCCTGATCTATAGATTTGACTTGTTTGTCCAGTATAACATGATTGCATTGAGATCTGGGGGCGTGGAGTCCAAGAAAGCCTTAAAAGTGATTCTTCAAACCATTCCTGAATCATTTTACCATTTTGTGTCAAGGTGCATTATTCAGGGAATATTTCCTCCACCCTTATTGATCTGCAGCTTCTCATGCAATCCATCTGTCAAACTGGGCAACACAGGGCAACTTTGAGATCCCATGTGCAGCTGTGAACTCTGGTAAACCACGGTTTCTTCGCCGGGCCTCGTTTGATGGACACTTGGGAATGATATGACCCAGTTTTGCAGGCATCACAAATCAGTTCTCATCAGACTACCAAAGGCTGAGTGTTTCCTGTTTTTCTGCTCTTAACACACCAGCTTTGAGAAAAAAAAAAATCTCTTGTTGCCTTACTTACCCCACCATCTGTTCTTTACTTTTTTCAGTTTTACTCAGAACTTCAACATAGTCTTGTAAAATAGACCTTATGCTAGGTTTTTAAAAACCCGAACTGGTCATATAAATGTGCAGATTTATCTTAAATGTTGAATTAATCACCCCAAGAATCAGAAAGATGATTTTTGATAACCCTGAAACTTTATCGAAAAATTGTCTTGATTTCAATACAAATCCTTTAAATATATTTGCTTCATCTTGTAGCAAATATACTTTATTTATGACTTGGACTTTAATTACAGTAAATGCAGTTTAATGTCAGGCCAAACTAAGGCTGTAAAAGTTCCAGTTACATCATATTGTTTTTCTTATTATTATTATTTAGAGACAATTTCAAATAATCAAATATTTGATAATTCAAATAATCAAAAATTAAATCACAGCTAAAAAAAAAAAGTCAAGTTTCATGTAAAAAAACCAAAAAGGTCTTTGTTTCAGTTTGTTTTTTTAGTCCATTCAGACTCAGATTCAGCACACAGTGGTACAAAACAAATAGTCTATTCAGTCCTTAAACTGATTGCTGTAGCAAATATTTCAGAAACAAATTATGCTGAACTGATGGTTCACAGTCAGCTTACAGAAACGTTTTCAGAGGTAAACGTTGCTTATCTTTTTCTACATTTAGTTGTATTGAAGGACCTCAGCTTATTTATTAACCTCATATTATGATGTTATTCCCTCAAGACATGCCTGGAGTGTATTTATGAAATTCAGTTTTACTTTGCATGTTCTCTTATTTTTTTTAACTGGTATGTTTTTAGTAGGAAAAAAAACTACACATGAGAAGTGATGTAATCTTCAATGAGGTTCAATTCATTTTCTATTGTGACTATAGACACAGATATTTGTATTAAAATCTTATACCATCAAACATGTTTGCTTTGAATGGAACTCAATATTTTTATTTGTGAAGGTTGTGTGTCTCTGCCAATTCAATTTAATTCACAGTCAAAAATACTTTCTGAATTCACTTTAAAGGGAAATTAAATGCTGCTGTAATTCCTATAGTCAAAGATTCGACAAAGATCTCCTGTAGCAGTCTGTGTTACAGAAGCCTCTGACTGAAGACACTGTTTTTCCGACAGTTTCATGAAGAGGATGCTCAGACTTGTCCATAATTTTCTTGATTTTGTGTGAACTTATGAAGACGCAAGAAAAATTAAAAGGAGGAAGTATCGGTAATTTAGTTTACAGATTCCAACTAGCAAACTCTACATGTTTATGATTTGGACAGTAGGACGAATGTCAAGATGAAATCTTTTGACCGTTTATGATGCTGTAACAACAGAGGAAGTTATTGAAAGTGTTTCTTGTACATCTTTTCCAGGGATCTCAACAATAATGCAGCCGTCTATCTCATTAAGCTAAATGTTTAAACGAAGCTCGATCCTGATTTTGCACCGAAAAACAAACAAATCACGTCGTACAGTTTGAAATACATCTGACTGATGTTACAGTTCTGTTTATTGTGCGTTTGGCCATATTAGCTCTATGGGTAACAATCACTTAACGCTCCATCCAATTTTGTAGAGTTTATCAGAGTAAAACGCTTCTCAATCAGTTTTTTTTTTTAGCCCAAGTCAAGTAAGAAAGCAAAACAAACATGTTTAATGCATGAAAAATAAATAAAAAGGGCGGCTAAGCGAAAAATACTTCAGCTTTTGATATTTCCCAGACAGACAAAGGCTGCGTTCAGACAAACAGCTGCTAAAAAAAAACCAACAGCTGTAAGCAGCAACTCAGCAACTGCTCCATTACCGACTGCCGCGTGCGTCTCCATCGCTGATCACAGTTCTTTCCGTCCAAACTCTATAAAACAGCAGAATTAAAGCCTTTGTATTTTAATTAAAGTCTGTATTCACATGCTTTAAGTGCTGCAGCAGCACGACAACATTTCATTGCTACAAATTCAAAAATGTCAAACATTAACACTGATCCAACTCTCACCTTCCCAAACAAATAATATTGCACTTTAACATCCTTTCACGCCAGCCGCTGTTGTTAGCACTCGAGACACACACTTTTCTATACCCATACTGGCGTCCTTTTGCAGTCACACAGCTGTAGTTTATCCTCATACAGAAACGTCAGTAAGAAAGTTCTTTAAAAAAAGAAAAAAGTAACACATGGGCCTAGAAATAACACTAATATCCAAAAGTATTCTACTAGTACAAATCTCAGGGGTTCTTTGCAAGTGCTATACAGCAACAACAAAAAGGTGTTTGTTTTTTTTTTTTGTTTTTTTTTTTTTTTCCATGAAAATAAAATGCCAACTTGGCTACTGCTCTTCCTCGTTTTCCTGACCGGATCCTTCAGATCGATCGCCCTCCAGGCGATCTACAGGAAGAAGAAGAAGAAAAGAAAAAGTTGGCACAAGAGAAAGAGCGCCGCTCTGTGCGTCGTCTGCGACGAGGTTTACCCGATCTGATGTGATTGAGGGACGCCAACATTCGGAGCATGAAGGAGGCCGGGACAGTGATTGTGTTTCTCGTTTCTTCCAGCATCAGCTCATTGCGGGTTATGACCTTTTAATGAGGAGATAAGAACGGTTTTAATACATGAAGCTCGAGGCAGGAACATTGAATTTTTAATAATAGTCAAAATTTTTGATTTATGTCCGTAAAGAGAGCTTTCTGGAAGTTATTGTTGTTATTATTATTATGTTTCACCTTCTGAAATTAACAGGGCATCCAGCTGAACAGTGTTTAGTCCCAGGACAGAAGTATGAACTTTTCAAATGAAAATTGGACGCTAAGACAAATAACAGATTATGCGTTTCAATCTATCAAGAACTTTTTTCTTTTTCACGCTGCATCACCTTTGGTGTCGTGTGAAGTTTCTTATGAAAATAGAGTCACAATATTACAAAAATAGAGTCACAGCAGTATGAGAATAAGGTTAAAATAATTCTAGAATAAAGTCTTAACGTTAATAGAACAGGGTCGTAGTGGTCCAGACGATGACCAACTATGTCGGATGTATCGTATGTGAATGGAAATGGTTACGGGGATGCACTGCTGATCTGACATTTGTGCATTTTTTGGATTGTTTTTATGCATTTTTTCGTGGTCAGTCCTTTTGGATTGTTGTATTGCAGTTTTGCCGCTGCTTCCAAGATGCATTTCTGGTAATTTATCTTTTAAAAGATAAATTGGGAGACTAATAAAACGATCTTATCTTTAATGTTAGGAAAATGTCGTCGTAATTTTCTGAAAACAAAGAAAACCACAAAATATTTTTTATCCAAACTAATGTTTAGATGTTCTTGTGGTTAAATAGCATCTTTAACCTGCTAATATTGTAATTGCATTCTTGTAACTAAACCAAAAAAAATGTCTTAAAGCTCGCAGAATAATTGACTGAAATAAAACCATTTTCTGAAAATATTTTCTGTCATTTGTAGAACAACAAAGGATGACTCAGCGATATTAATTTTAAGCTAAATCGCCCTGCCCCAAGTCGTCGTATATAATTTGTCACACCTCCTCAGCAAGGACTCTGTTAAAAGATGCCGCCTGCTCCAGTGGTGACCAAATCTTGACGTCATAGTCTATCCCCGAAGAAGCCAAAACTGGAGAGAGAGAGAGAACGAGAGAGAGAGAGAGAGAAAAAAGCATAAAGATACTAAATTACACATCTGCATTCCTTTGGTCTCGTTCTGCGATCCGACCACCTCCCTGACTGGACTCACTGGGGTCGTACGGGTGCGGCTGCAGGCAGTTGACCACGTGGTTGTCGGCCTCCAGCAGCATGAGGTGTTCTGCGGTGTGTCTGTCCCAGATGAAAATGTGTCCGCAGTCCGAGCCGCTCATCACAAAGTTGTTGCCCCAGAAACATGACTCCTTTATCTGGACACGAGGGCGAGAAGAACCTCAAATGTCACACAGACGACTGCTAGAGGACACCTCAACATGACAGGTGTCTCAAGTTCTCCTGCTGCGAGAGTCATAAAAACAGATTCGCTTTCAAAAACGGATAAATGACGTACGTGTGTCGATTGTCTGCGTTGAGATAAAACTAAGGGATTTTCTGACTTTTCCATTTACCGGGTGAGCTGATCAGTTGGACCGGGCTGATGCTTACCATTGTTCTGGAGTTGCGGTGGCCCTTGTAAACCATTTTCACTGAAGGTCTCCTGATATTCTGAGTTTCACTCTCCTCCATCTCTCTCCTCTCTTTTCTCCTGCGAAACAGCTCCTGGATGCGAGCTGCTGCAGAGCGCCTGGCAAAGAAAAAGCAAGAAACCCACAAAACTTAAATAACTCAAAAAACATCTGCAAATTCATGCCGAGTCATGATTTGATTTAACCCAGATTTTTACACTTCAACCGCTAGAGTATTTAATAGGATCTTTTTGGTTTTTTTTTAGTAAAATCACCTGCATGAAGCATCAAAACATGTAATTCTTTTGAAGTCATCATGCATACAGATACAATAAATGCAGCTGTGGCGTTTTTATTCACGTCGCTTGTGATCACATGCAAACACTCCATACTCAGCCCCTTGCATCAGTAGCTTGAGTCAAACCAAGTCGAAACAACAAACGGTTAGCTGAACACTGTGTGGTGCTTTTGGCTCTAGATGCTGTGCAGCAGATCACGCAGCTCCAGTGTTAGCTTGTTTTAGGTTTCCAGAGTGAGCGTGTTACCTGATCATCCTATCCCCTACTGCAGATCCTCTGGAATTAAATCTACATTCGTTCGAAAACAGTGAGTGTGAAAGTACAGAACTTAAATCAGAAACTCTATCCTTAAAAAGTGAAAAGATATTTTTATATATACGTGTAGTTGGCGGAGGCTCCTATGTCCTACCTCTGCCCCTGCCCTCTGAATCTGGCAGGTGGGATGAGAATGGGATCGTCGTCGCTGTCGTCGGAGTCCTGGTTGCTGGGCGCCGGCTGACTCTGACCCTCCACGCCCTCCTCTCCGGCAGGCTCCGCCCTCCTGCAGTCGCTTGACGGGTCTTCGGAGCCCTCCGGGTGACTCCTCTCCTGCGGCGGAGACCCCGTGCTTTCCCACTCAGCGGGACCCCGAGTCGTGGCGACGCCGAGGGGGCCGGCGCCGGAGGCGTCATGCAGAGACGCTGATGCGGCTGCTGCCAAACTGTGCTGCCCAGAGGACTCGCAGGGAGCTGAGGAGCACAGGAAGTGCAGTAAAGTGTGGAATAAATTTGAGGTTATAGTGCCAGCTGAAAGCATTCATACCCCTCGAGCTTTATAAGATGTAATTTACTGATTTCTAATGTGAGAAACCAACAAAGTGCATAATTGTGAAGCTAAAGGAAAACAACCAGTGGTTTTTAGAGTGATGTTTTTTTCCTTTAGCAATTTTCTTTTTAAAAAAAAAACGTGGCATCCATTTATATTTAGGGCCACGTTTACTCTGATATGTCCTAGATAAGATCCAGTGCAACCAGTTGCCATTTGTGGGATTTCTTTGTTCTGTAAAGCTCTCAAATGTTTGTTACAGAGTAAAGAGCATCATTAAAACCGAGAAACAGAGCAGACAAGTCAAAGAGGAAAGTGAGAGGGTTAAAGCAGAGGAGGTGTGCACTTTATGGAAAAGTTGGAAGAAGAAATCTGTTGGTAAACGAAAAACCCAACAAAGTCATTTGCAGTTTGTCACAAGCCACGTGAAAGGAGATGCTCTCGTTAGCAGAGGCCAGAATTAAACAATCTGAGAACGTACACTCCGCTAATTGGCTCTCGGCTTCCTAATTATGTACAACTCTGTGTTTGTCTCGCATTAAAATGCCAGTGAAGCCACTGAGGTTTACGGCTGTGACAAACACTGACAAAGCTCGAGTGGCATCAATACTTGAAGGCACTGAATGCTGTGCAACTATGATGCTGAAGGACGTGAATCACCCTGTTCCGACACTGAACTCTCCGCTGACAGAGTCTCCTGGCTGTTTGGAACCACGACTTCAGATGTTTTGGAGACTCCGCTGCCCATAGAGCTGGACGTGCTGCTGCTCCTGTGGAGAAAAAAATACTTATTTTACCATGAAGAAACCGACAAAAAGTGGCAAAGGATGGATTTTTGAGACCGAAAGATACATGATAACCTAAATCCTATGTCCAGAAACCAGTAATTTAAGAACAGAACAGGTCTGAAGGTTTTACTGATTTTAGCAACAATCTGTCAAAATAATCCACAATATGTTCCTGCAAAACATTCTAGATTGAAACTACTGTGGCTGAATGTTGAGTAAATATCTGGCCCATTATGTATTCACCTGCATATTTGGATTTCTTTATGGTTCATAAAGAAGGCGGAAAGCTCTCCATGTTCAAAACAGAGATAGACAAGGCAGAAATATTTACAATCATTAACAAATCCAAATCTTAGGTTTAGGTCAGGAAAAAAAAAGCCAAAGTACCAGTGGAGATGATAAAAGATCACAAAGAAGTCTTTGAATTTGAATCGCAACACTTCCTAACGAGAAACCACAGGTCGGTGCTGTGCTGCTTTTGGCAAATTAATAAACTAAACTGAGAACATATTTCTATAAAACCACCATTCCGTCTTTCAATCGGTTACTTGCTTTGTCTTTTTCATTTACGTTTAAAACACCGTCAGGGCATCAACGCTAATCTGATCTTAAACACAAACTCTGAAGCTTTTGACACATCGAATCCGTTTGTCACTTATTTTAATCTGATCTTGTATCCGAGTCATTTATCGAGTTAAAACACGGAGTGATTGCTGATGTGGTTTGACACAAGTTCGGGTCTGGACAGAAACCGTTTCTCTGCTCGTCTCTCACCACTCGTCGGTGAAGTCCAGCTTGATGGTGCTGGTGGTGGTTCCCTCTGAGCTGTAGTGCAGGCTGAGGACCGGCTCTGCTGCGCTGGGTCGGGTGGTGGACGGGGTGGGAGTAGGGGCGGTGGGGGTGCCGCTGGTTGCTGCAGTAACCGATTCCTCGGGATTTGAACCTGCAGCCTCTGCTGCTCCTGGCGGCAGAAACAAAAAGGAAAGCAACGGCGGTTGAACCTCTCGTGCTTGCAGAGTGAGCAGAAGAGCGCTGGAAATGGGAAAAGAAAAACGATTCCGAAAGGTTTTAAAAACATGCAGCACAGCTTAACCCACAGAAAACACAGAAAGGTTCAAACAGATGAATTAAGACTGAAAAACAATCTTGTAACTTACAATATATGTGAAAAGGTGAAGATTTATTACTAGATTATCTAACTTAAATATTCTATTTTTTTTTAACAAAGACTGAGTTTGTGCAAAAACAAACTGGAAACTGTTTTTGTCTATTTAACATTCCCAAACTGTATAACTCATCCAAAAACATTATTATTTCCAAATAACTTCAGAAAGCAGAGCCCATATAAGTGGCACTTCATTAACAATCAGAAGACGGCAGCAATAAAAGCAGCCAAACAAATAAAAGTCATATTCATATCTATATTACATTCATATAAGGCATTTAACAGTGTCTATGCTGGTTAGCTGGTCACAAGAAATGATCATTTTTCATTAACTCTTCGCTTAACATCTATTTTTATTTACTGTTGGGGTTTCTGGTGACACCTAGTGGTCAACAGAAGTACAGATGAGCCAGTTAAAAACATCAAATCCTCAAATCAAGAAAGAAAGTGAGCGGACATTACTCTACTACACCTACTAATAAATTTGTTTTTATAATAGGTCTGCATCCTTAAATAAAAATATAATAAAGGAAATACCTGTCAGTAGTTTAGGTCGTGGTAAGACATAAGGTTGGAGCCCAACTATTAACCTTGACAAACTAATTTGTTAGGACACGTTTTCACTGATGTTGAACTGCATCTCCTGCATCTTCAACAGGTTGAAGAGAAACTCTGCAGGCTGCTTCAAAATCCACACATCTAGTAATTAAAATCACCATCTCATTTCCTATTGGACAAGAGGATGACTAGAGAAAGGGCTGAAACAAGACAAACTGGACAGACGCGTTCTGAGATGGAGAGAGAGGACAGAGGAAGGATGGAGAGACGCACCCTGCTGTTCATCCAGAGTCATGGATCCCAGCTGTTTGTTTACCACAGACGAAGGGGAATCTGGAACACAAACCACACAAACTAAACACTTAACAGGGAGTTCAAAGGTGAAAGCTCGCACGCTCAAGATGCGTAAGCGTCACAAACTTCATTCGAGTTACACGGTTTATACGGAGCTACATGGAGGCGCTGTGGCAGGTTTTTACAAAGCACAAAGAGGGAAATGAGCAAACCTGAAAAGAAACAACAAAATCAGAGTCCACATCTGCTTACTACACAAGTATTAATATACCCTTACACTTTTTTTTAACAAAATAATTCCTGAAATGTGTAAAAAAATAATAATAATTCAACTAGAAATAAACGCAACAATCATTTCTTAAATATAGAATTAATTAAATATATTGATGTTCTGAGGTTTGTGGCTGTAATGGGACAAAATGTGGAAGTGGCTCAAGAGCTATAAATACTTTTGCGAGACGCTAAATTATTCATCAAGATAAACATTAGTAGTCTGTATGTACTCCTGTCTGCTGGCTACACAATTATTTCTTTCTCCCCAAAAAATGGAATTATATCCAGAAAATGTTGGAGTAAGGACTGCATGACAGCTGAGCAAAAGCAAAATGCAGCACCAAGCGTCCAATAAACGTCCCAATCAGACACGAAGCATTTATCTGAACTTTGACCTCAGCTGAGCTGTCAGTCCTCTGCCAGACAACTCGTGACACTGACACATTCAGTGATTTCATGCACAGCTGAAATAATTAATCAGATTAATTGTGATTAATCGATTATTGAAATGATCGTCAACTAATTTAGAAATCGGTGAACCGCTAGATCTAAAACAAAAAGAGCAGACTCAAGAGGCATAATTATGCCAAAACTGTACAAAAAATATAAATACTTTGGATTTATATTTTTAATCTAAAAAATATATCTAAAAATATATTCTGCCTAGAACTCCTCAAACGGCATAAAGTTTTGATTCACTCGATTAAAACTCTTTCAGAAATGTAATCTGGACACCTTTTGTTGTCCTGTTATTGGTTAATCCAACCAATAATCACCAGATCAGCCCTGCATTGTGTTGATTTTAAGTCCAGCAGCGAGAGCTGACATCAACTTTAACAAATGACCAGGTGTATTCAAAAGAAATGCTGTTATTGCATTTTAGGCAATACTATACTTATTTTATCATTTAAAAAAGGAACTGAATTATTTATCTGTACTTTTGATGCATTTATAATATTGTAGAAAATAAGCTTAAGTGGCAAAATGAAAAATCTGCAAACTTTTCCCTTTTTTTCAATGAATCAATTAAAACTTCAGCATAAAAATGAGTTGCAGTCCAAATTTCATTCAACAAATTCGGTGCTTGAAGTTTCATGTTTGACAAGGACTTTAGTTTCACGGCGAAGGAAGGAAGCCAGTCGCAACCAATCTTTAACGCGTCTTCATCATCAACCAGGGAAACAACCACATGAGCCAAACCAATCAGATTCACAACCGCTGGTGCCACTCCAAACAGAGAGTCTGCAGATGAAAACCCAAAGCAACGAGGAAAGGAAGGGAGTGAGAGTGTTAGTGAGTGAGGGGAGCAGAGAAGCTGCTGGCGGTTATGGGTTTGTGAAACGCACGGTGCGTTAGACGGAGGGGTTAGTGCTGGGTTCGAGCGAGACGGGAATTTGGAGCCGAAGTGAGTCTGCAAACAAACATGTCTGCCACGGTTATATGAAGAAGCTCAGACACAGAACTTGACAGGTGTTGCTGCAGGTTTGGAGGGAGGGGTAACCTGTATGGGGTTGCTTCGGAGCAGCAGAGGCGGCGGTGGCGGCGGAGGCAGCAGCAGCTGAGGTAGCCCTTCGCTCAGAGGCTGCGGAGGAAGTGGAAGCGGTCGCTCGCTGACCCAGTCCCGGGGGGTCGGCCAGCCGAAGCAACCTCTGCAAACGCCTACACACTAAACTTATGGGCAGCCGATGAGGACCGTACTCTGACAGAGAGGCAGAGGGGAGACAGGGACAGTGGATGAGCCATTAGGAGGACAGAGAGGGGAGGAGGAGGAGGAGGAGGCGAGGAGCAGAGGGACAAAGAGAGGGACAACAGGACGCTGAAGGAGAAGAAGGTGAAGCTGCTGCTGCTTCTCGAGTGGAGTGGCTCCAAAGCAGACGCTCAAACACACTCACAGGTCCATTATCGCACATTCTGCATTACAGAAGCACTCACACTCTTTTAAACCATTTCAGTTTGTTACATAACCACAAACTATGATTCATTTTACTGGGACTTAACTGGCAGGAGAACGGTTCATTAGTTAAATTACAAAAAAAAATTTTAAAAATGTCTGTGCAAGTGTGGTGGGCCTCTTACTCAGGTCTCTTGAATCAACGCTTTGCAGAAAGTCGTCTCACTCCACAGGCAGAGACGTGTCTCTACCAGCTTTTCGCATCTGAAACTAATTCCCCTTCAACTCTTAAATGCTAAAAGGTTAAAACTTAGTCAGATTGGACAGATCTAGCTACAGATTCTCATCTAGATGTAGGTCTAGACTTTGAATGGACCAGGTGGACACAGGACTGGGTCTAGTCTAACCCAGAGGTCTCAGAACGCTGTGTTGAAGCACAGACTGCTACAGGAGACAAGCCTAAGGCCCTGATCTAAAACATTCAGGTCCCATCAGCTCTGAAGAGCTTTTCTTTATCTGCTGAAGACGTTTTCATAGTGGAGATGGTGTATTTCCATCAAATGTAAGTAGTTTTTCATTTGTTTCCCAAAATGTTCAGCTTTGGTCTCATGTAACTAGAGCAGTTTCTTGTTGATGTTTGGTACAGGTGTCCCATCAAGATCTCTGAAATTTCCTCCAAGTTAAAATGAGAGTTCTCTGATTAATACAGAACACCTCAACACAACTGAACTGATGCGATGCAAGGGAAAGTGTGTGTATTTTTTACTCACATTTCACAACTACGAACTAATTAATTCATACGCATTGTCCCCTTTGTGAAATAAAAAATTCCCAGCAAATGCAGGACTTTAGTTCGTTCATTTAGATAAACCACGTAATATATCAGTTATATTTTCAATCTATTTTTCTTGTTATGTTGTGATTTTTTTTTTCTATTTTTGCCACACATTTTCTTTGCCACAAAAAAATTCCCAGTAGAGCTTTATCAAAGATCGAAAGTTGTTCTTTTTAAAGCGTCATGTAACACTGAGGTTCTCTTTAGCTGAACCGAGGGCAAAAACATCTTTTTGCGATCTAAAGGTTCCAGGCGCCTGGTCTACAAAATTGCAAATAAAAACATAGTGAGGTCTGTGGCTGTAACAAACTGTGAAACATTTCAGAGGGTGTGAATATTTCTGCGATGCACTGAAAACAGCGGTTCCGAGTACGCCTTCATTCACACTGAACTGAAGTGACGCCAGTCAAAGTATAACTGGACTCTCACCCGATAGTGCAGGTTCAGAGGTGGGCGTGGCTGTGGGCGTCCCGGTTGTGTCCCCCTGACTCCTTTGCTCCGAGTCAGGGGAGGAGGTAAGAGGAGAAGAAGAAGGGGCCGAGCTCTCTACCGAAGACGAGCCGGAAGTAGGAGGCGCAGTGACTGTTGATGACGACCCTGAGGAGGAAGAGGAAGTGGATTTGGACATCGGGGCTTCGGACGTGGCTGCAGGACTGGAAGGGACCTCCAGGGAGTCTGTCTCCACGGGCCTCTCAGGGGCCCCGGTTTCCTGGGTGGAGTCTGCACCCGAGGGGGCAGGAGTGTTTGCCGAGCCCTCAGGCCGGACAGCAGTTCCTAGAAATGAGGCAATCAAGTAATATAAATTGATTGGCTCCTTAGATTAATAATTGAGGACAAAGACTAAGCGTCAGACTGAAACGCATCACAATTTTACAGTTTTGTTTTTATTATCACTGCATATAAAATCAGGTTTTTGGCATGATTTTTTAAAATTTTATTTTATTTTGTACAACGCCCTCAAACTAAGAAGCAATTAAAAAGCGAGATCTCACCTCTGGGCCGAGCCTGAGGTCGGCTTCCTCTGCTGCTCTGAGCTTCGCTGGCCTCTTCGAACCACCGGGACAACATGTCTGACATTCTCTGCATCAGGGACACATTTGGACTGTGCTCTCCTAAAGCGAGAGGAGGGGAAACGTTTCAAATTAACATTTGAAACTACAGGCACGTGACAGGAAATGGTTTTCAGATGGTTGCATTGAGGACCAATAGCATCCCAGCATCTGCGGCCCGAGCTACCGCTACACCACGCTCTGCCCCAACCCAGTTCATGCCAGTCCTGACCTTGACAACTTTGTGTTTGACTGTGAAGCAAGTTTCATGTTGTTGTGCAATGAGAAGGTCCCACCAGGAAGGAAATACCTTTTTCAAATCCGACATTAGTAGCTTTTTCTTCACAAATGTGCAAAAACTTTTTCTGACATTCTGCTAATGTAAAAAAAAAAAAGACCCCACAATTTTGCAATCGCAATGTTTCTATTTAATAAGAAATGCAATTAGCGTAATGGCGAGTCAACATGGACGGATGGAAATATTTCCAGGATATAAATTTATATTTCAGCCACAACACCTGAGAAAATCAAAGATCAGAGGAGAAGTTGGTGTTTTGTTCAGGTGCTGAAGTAATCCTTGAGAGAGGCCACTTAAATATGCAGCGTTTTGGGGAAACTTGTATTTGGCGATTTCACATAAGAGCCACGGAGTAATGACAAAAACCAAACCCGATTTAAACCAGAAGATTGTTAGTGACAAGAAGCAGATGATCACGATGCAACGAGCTAAGTGACTCTTCCATGATTTAATAAATTCAAGGTACCGAGCTAAAAAACAATTATATTCCTGACAAAAGAAAAAAAAAACAAACAAAAAAACCCACAATTTTGTTGCCCTGGTTCCTAAAGCACGCTATCCATTCACAACAGCAAGATGTTATTTGTACCACATCGTGACAGAAAGCTCATGGTTGCTCAACTTGTTTGATTATCGTACTGAATTACTTTATCGTGTAAAGTGTTACAATTGTACATTTACGATTTAAGATGCTATATTATAAATGTCATAAAACTGTTTTGCAACATGAACCCCGGGAAGAGCAGCCATTGTTAAGGTAATAGCTAACGAGGATCCTAATAAATAATCTTCTGTGTTTATTGGGGATTGTTGCTCGAGACTTAGAAGATGAAGTGTGAATGAAAACATTTGGGCAAGCTTGGCGCTCTCTCCTGAAATGTGAGAGGTCTGCTTTGAACGAGGAGCAGAACATTCTGTGATCTTACCATCTCTTTCTCTTTCGCTCTCAGGACGGGCTCGGGGTCCGGTGTCGGACCAGTCGCCCCGCAGCCGGAGCCGCTTCACCGGAGGCTGCCGTAGCTGTGGAAACACACACGCAGTCAAAGGTTAGCGGTTTGTTAGTCAAACCACAGTCAAAAATAACTCTGCTGCCAAAGCAAAACACTGCCCGTCTCTGTCGCCGTCCTCTCCCACCCCTCTGGCAGCACAACTAAGGCTGCCCCCTTTTTTTTTTCCAGTCCCTCGGATGCTTTGCGGTACAACCGGCCGAGAGCCAGAAATAGAAAATCAAGGTCTTAGTGGAGGGACTTCCAACTGCTTTGCACAGGAAATGTCATCAAGGTCTGGACAGGTGGTGAGAAGCAGCACAGACGGGACGAGACAGAAAGAGGAGATAAGAAAGAAAAAGACCAGGAACTAAATGAGGTCAGAGGTGGAGGAGAAAGACAGATAAGAGAGGTGCCTACGCCCCCCCCACCATCCTCTGCACCGTACGCCTCAGCTCAGACTATTTCAGTGGGTTGAGGAACGCCGTCTGCGTCGGTCGCTGTATTTGGAAAGGAATGTGTGAGTGTGTGCACCTCGACACAGCTGAAACCCAGTCACCATGATCAGGCACATTTAGACAAACAACCGCAGCACAGATTTCCTCACTGGTTATCACAGTTTCATACTAACATTACGCGTTGGAGGGGAATTGAGAAATTATCCTTGGTGCTCTTCCAATTCTTCACTGCAGCTCAAAAGATACGACTCTTTTTCCAATCAATAAACCCTCCAAATCTGAGCACTAGCACTCTTCGGTGAGGAAGTTGCTATCAGGGGAAGAAGATTCAAAGCTGCTGATAGCTGTTTGAAGATGACGAGAGAGGAAGCACGGAAGCCATTTTAAAAAGTGAAACCATTTTCTGCAGGTTGAGACAAGTTCGTTCAAGCTGTGAGAGCGAGCCAGACTTTCAAGAGGCAAGTCTGAATAAGGTCCAGCAAGAATGATGCTTTTGTTTCATCTGTACGGCGTCTGTAAGGGGCGGCGCCACGTTTTAAAATGTTGGCAGCCTTCAATCAAACTGCTGTTTTAGTTACCCTGAACTCTTTTTCAAACTAACCGTCTGACCTCTTCCCCTGAAAAATATGAACAATTATGTTTTACATGATGAAATCTGAGGAATCTGAATGGAATAAAATCAACAGATAAACATTTTACGGTAACCAAAGACTAGAAACTGATGATGAATCTTTGATAGCATAACTTGATAGAAGCATGCATACTTGCTCTCTGCAGCATTTAATGACAAACATTTTCAATCCACTTGGATTTTTGTTGTGTAAATCTGATGGATGGACAAACAGATGAATGAAAGGGCAGACAGACAGATGGACAGAAACAAAGTTTAAATGATTGGTTTGGGAAAATTATCTGGAATTTTAAATATTTCTTCCATACTTTTGTTTTCATTTTCAATACTTAGACAGATAACTTGAAAATAAATAAACTTCATGCTTTTCCAGACTGTGCAGGAACCATGGAGAATCGTGCTATAAAGCCACGACATAAAAGGCTTTCCGGACTGAAACAGATGATGCAACACAAAAAAAAGTAAAACCTCCCTGTAAGAAATAAACACTACATTCAGATGCTGCTGCGTAAAAGAAGACCACAAAATGTTCCTAGCATGTTTCTAACACAGAGTTGAAAAGTGGCAAAGGAATCAGGAAAAAAAAAAGGCTACAAAGCATCGCAGCGTGACCTCACCTCTTCTCTCCTCTCCTCCGACGGGCCCTTGAGCTCCCGGGCCTGGTCATCTTTGGGGTTGAAAAGGTAGATGTAATCTGAGGAGTAGCTGACGAGCACCTCTTGTCCGTCCCCGCTGTAGCAGAGAGACGTCACCCTGCACGACTTGTTGGACAGGTGGGAAGGTACGAACCGCACACACATGCCCGTCGTTCCCCGGCCCATGTAGTTACCTGAGCAAGAAAGGAAGATGTATCGAAAAACGTGACTATCCATTTAATCAGTCTAAGTAATCAGATGTAAAATGGGCACTTAGAGTTTGATTGCCTTCGTTTTTTTCCCCTCATATATTACACAACAAGCATAATAATGTAGACACAGAATGTATTATTCTGAAAATCATGGAAGAGCTGCTTTGTCTCTTAAAATACAAATAAGCTGCAGCTTGCCACACACCAATACATCCGTATATTCGTCTTTGAAAAGCAGAAGTGGAGCCTACTGCACAACCAACAAGGATGCAGTAGATGCATCCTTGTTGGTTAGTACTGTATGGTAAGTCAACAACAAAACCCTTTTCTTTTCCAGCAGCCATTGTATAGGGCATGCAGCAGTAAAGCCAGCTGACCAAATATGCTGGTGCTCCAACTTGGGTTGCTAGGTGATGAGCTGAGCTGGGGTTGCTAGCTAACCGTAAAATCTGACTTAACATTTGCGTTTTTTGTTTTCTTTTTTTAATGGCTCATTTTCCAGAAACCATAAAACATTATCTTATTGCCACAAAATGGCTGAGTGCTTTTTTTAAAGGCTGTGTTCAGAAACAGCAGAGACCCACATGGAAGCACAAAATGTGAACTTTGCATAATATGTTCCCTTTAAATCTTGCTGAAATCAACATAAGATACAAAGAACAGAAACAGGGGCAGTTTACCTGTGGCTCTGGTTCCCAGCATGCGTCTATCATAGATTCGCACTGAGCTGTCTGAGCAGCCCACAGCCAGATAGTATGGCACCAGAGGTGAGATGGATATGGAGGTCGCCGCTCTTCGGCAGTTAATCAGAATGTCCTGGGATCAAAGCAAACGCCACTGGGTGAAGCTCGGAACGACGTAAACTGGTAATCTGGTCAATAAAGCTTAAAATCCAAAAAATATAAATGAACATCCAGCGTCTCACTCCCTTAAGAGCCTGCTGCAGGCAGGAAGTGAGACTGGTTTGCAGGTACAACAGAGGAACAAACCTACAGTTAAATGCATTCTGTCACAAGTTTCTGTTAGAAAACATAGCATCAATTTGTGATGACTTTTATCAGCTAATGTGATTAAACTGGAACAAGATTTCACAGAACTGGAGGAGTGACCTTGAAATGCTTTAATGTAGCCACAAATACACATTTCTAAAAGTTAAAAAGTTAAGACTAATTCACTTTCTTATCATGAAAGTGGATAAGGGCAGTTTTTTTTTGTTTGGTACAGCTGCACAACATATCAAATGTATGATATAAAGGACTGCTTAGATAAAGGACCAGTTGGTCAATATCTTTAAGAGAACAGGAGAAAAGTAAACATATTTTGCTTATTTATGCAAAGCAACACAATACATACATTTTAAAAAATGTGAAATGGTTTCATTTTCCAGAATTTTTATCTCCAACATGCGAGAGCTACTCTGCTTTCTGCTTATCCATACCGTCTCCAGACTGGGCTAAATCTCAAAATCTAAAGTACCAGAAAAATATTAAGGTTGATAAATGTGACCAATTTTAAATTTCAGAGTTGTTTTTCTGGTAATATGGAACGAAAAAAAAAGTCAGGTAAACTGAACATCTTTTGAAAGGCTGGACTTCACTGCGCTAGACGAGCTAATCGAGCTAACGGGACGCCTGGCTGTTTGTCCTCCTTCAGATCAGTCACTGATGGATCTCCTCTCAGAAGGAACAGCACCAGGGTTAAGCAAGGCAACGACGACGCCACCTGGTAAAACTATTCGAGCAGTTTTAAGGTCATGGGTTCTGATCCGAAGAACGAAACATGAGACAGCAGCAACGCAAAGGCTTCTGCATCCCAGGCAGCCTGGACTGAAGTCAAGAACACAGTTTGCCGAAGTCCTTCAGAAAGAAGCAACAGCGCCACAAGGCTGACCTTCAACACTACGAGGATTTAGTAAACGCTCAATTATTTCTGTAACTTTCTACTGACATTACTAGAATTAAACACAGCCCAGTTGTCTGCATACATCTTTGCAGTCTTCTTTAGTGCAGCTGGTTTTTGTGCGAAGGTCAAACCACCGCACTGTGCCGTCCTCCCCACACGACAGGAATGTGTAGGGATCATTTGGTACAGTCATAATCTGAGAGGAACAACATAAGCATACAGTCAGAGAAGAGGTCGTTAAGCGAATGCAGCATCGTATCGGCGGAGCGGCGTCGCCGTTCAGCACCTCGTAAGCCGTGCCGTAGTGGCAGGTGAACTGACACTGCCGGTTGTACTCGGGACTCTTTTCGGTGTGCGTGTAGAAGATGATGCCGTCTCCGGAGCAGGAGACGATTTCCTGATCGTTTGTGTGAGGCATGAACTTCGCACTGAAAATGTTTGCTCGATGCCCAGAGCGGATCGACTTCTTCACCTGAAGACGGGAAAATAAAAGTGGACCTTTATGGTTAATTTGTGGTACCAAAAGCTCCCGTTCAGTCGAAATCTTTTTTTTTTTTTTTGTTTCTAAATATATGTTTCTGTAATAGCGGTAAACTTCACAGGTTTCGACCAACCTTCTTGTTGTACGGGTTAGTGATGACCAGAAAGGTGTCGTCTGACCCCGACAGGATGTATTCGCCTGTGTCGTTCCAGGATATCGTGTTGACCTGAGAGGAGATGAAGGAATAAAGTGTTTAGAGGCCTGACCGAAAACTAATTTGGAAAGTTCATGACTCCATACTGGCAATAGGAGACAATACTAAAACCTGTAGACATCTACTAATAACACTTCTTTATCATCTTGAAGTTCTTTTTACTTGTGTTTCTCTCTTTTATTTTGGATTCTTACTCTTTGTATTGTTGTATCAACAAAATAACCATCCACATACTTGTGTGGACAGCCGCAAATATCAAATTTCACAAGACTGGTTTGAATGAAGTTAGTATAAATATCCACAATGACGTTTAAATAAAAACATAACATGCAAGGAAACGCAGTAGCTTCTCAAACCTGAATGATTCTGTATCACAACTGAACAAAAAAGGGAAAAAAATGTCATCATTTTCATGTCTTCTGATTTTGCAGACTAACTAGATTTCAACAGGGATATTTGTTTTTGTAAAATGTGGAAGAAAACACTTAAATAAGTGAATTATTTCCTCTTCTGTGTATGAAAATCAAAAGACCAAGCGTATAAATGATGACTCAGCCAAAAAGGTTTACACTCACTTTAGTCCACTGTATTAATCCAAAAGATTTTTTTTAATTATGTCCAAATAGGATTAAAAAAAAAAAAAATCTGCCTTTTTAAATCAAAGAAAGATGAAGTTCTAAAACAAATCCAGTTTCAAAATTTTCACTCAAATCCTAGATTTATATTTGTGTTTTGCTCATATTTAGCTGAACATCAACAATAATTGAGCAGAAATTACTCCCAGGTTCTGCTGCTGTTTCCCAGCAGCAGAACCAGAACAAAGCCTCAGATCTGCTCGCTTTCTGTTTGTTTGTGGATCAATATTTCACTACGACCTGCAGCCTCGGTCAGCGCTCCGTCGTGACAGAGCGGCGCGCTGCAATCAGTGAGATCACTCTGGGCTCAGAGCTGCACTGCAAAACAAACCCACACCTCTGCAACAGCCGACGCTTCCAACTCACTAATGAGTAGAGACGAGCCGATTCGAGGGAAAAAATTGTGGGTTTCATTTGTTATGATGGTTTGTTTTATTTAAAAACACGGCACTAACTGTTTTTCATTGCCCGAGCGCTCACTGGGAATCTCAGTTTCTGTCGCTGATGATGAATTAAAATGACTTACGATGCTTTCTTCCTGTTTTGTTGTGTTTGAGCATCTTACGTCATCATCTGGTTCCCTGTTTTCCAGTCCACAAATAACATAAAATAAAAATCCACCTCAAAGTGGAGGAGGAGTCGATTTTAGCAGAAAAACATGTTTTTGATTAAAACTCTTAAGGAATCCTATTTTCACCCGTTTCAATTCTTTCTCCATGTAGAACTTTAATTGTCTGATATTTTAATTTCTCCATCAATTTCAAACTTTGGTGAGGACGAACATCGACTTCTTATTTTATCTGTAAATGCAATCATGTCGCTCGAGGCCAAAAGCACTGAACCATGATGCACTGCTCTTAATAAAATGAGAAGAAAATCAGATTATGAAGCAACTCAAACTCCTAAGGAAGGATTTTTTCTTCACCAGTAACTAAAGCAGCTACCAAATTCAGAGCCAATTTTCATCTCATCCAAAAGCTGCATGAACAGTCATTTTAAAAAAAACAAACACACCTCCTAACCAACTTTTCTGTCATATTTCTGCGCTACATTTAAATTTACATTTCTGTGTTTCTTAGAAAAAACAAATGAAAAAAAAACTCAAATCTAAATGAGATTTGCATAAATGCTTTTTTTGGGTCCTACTACTGAATGCATATCGTCTTGCTCAGCATACGTTCCGACTCAACACACTTAAAGGAACGGCAACACCACAGATTGTGACTGCCGACACTCCTATGTTTAGACAGACTGGATTTATTGAATAAAAAGATTGTACAAGCAGTAATGTCAGAAAACATGAGCGCTCACATGACTTCAATGTTCAGTAACCCTGGGTGTTTTAGACTGCGTGATGAATGGCCACACAAGAAGCAGATGGCGTGGTCAAAAGAGGGTTAATGACTGGTGTGGCGTCATCGCTGCAATATTAAAGACTTGTGCATTTAATCAAATGGATTAACTGGAACCGTTAATCCATTCGATTAAATGTTTCAGTTAATCAAAAATAGAAACCTCTTTAAATAGAAACATATTAATTAACCTCTAAGCTGTATAAAAATGCTATAATTATATTGTTAAATGTATTTTCTTTAATATTTTTTATCAAATAATCCTATAAAAATGCTGCATGTCGTACTGGAAGGTGAAACTCCCCTTCAGTCTGAACTCTGCCAGCAGTTTTCCTTCCATAATCCTCCATGTTCCTCAAAAATCTAACCAGCTACAGCATGATGCTGCCACCACCATGTTTGCAATGTAGTGTTAATTTCCACCAGATACAGTTCTTTGCATAAAAGCTAAATAAAAAAGAGATTTGAGTTGTGAACGTTGCATGAACTTTTGTGAAAAGACAATCTGAATTTTTTTTGTAGTGAATATCCACAATAGGAAAATTGATGGAGTTGTTTTTAAAGGATCACCGTTTTGTTTTCAAGTTTCAAAACAAAGAAAAACATAAATCACTTACAAAAAGCACTTAGTATTGATGAGAACAAATATAATAAAATGACCCTGATGTTTGTGTCATTCTGTTGTGAAAATTTAATGCAGGATTTATTCTATAAAAAAAAGAAACTAATGAAAACTGATGAAATATATAGATATTTTATTGTATTTAATAGTTTTTTGTAATTTAAAAAAATTAAATTACAAATAAAATTTTAAAAAGGTAGGCAGCTCTCTTATGTCGTGCGAGTGTTGCTGCGGTGTTTTGGTCGGACTGAAGTCCTGCCCGAAAGCGTCACGAGACGCTGTGTGACTGATCTGTCAGCCTCAGGTTTCCTGCAGCCAGAGCTCTGCTGGAGTTTACATACCGGCCCAGGGGAAAACAACACACTACGCGGTTTTCTTCAAGACAAAATAAACTCATAAAAACGGGACAAAAAAATGTTTTTTTCAAAAAAGGGGCTCAGAAATGCAGAATACTCACACAGCCATCGTGGACGTTGAGCGTCGCTTCCAGTTTCAGCCTCTGGACAAATTCTCTTCTACCTGCAGAAAAGATAAAAACGCTTTTAAACCTGCTAACATTCATTTGAGTCGGTACGGAGAGCTTTGACACATTTAACATTTGTAATAAATTAGTGTAGAGTGCACTGTATTCTTCTTGTTTGCAGAAACACTGCTGCTGCAGAACGAGAGCAAGGAAAGCAGAAAGAGGACGGTGTGATGACTCGCTGATCTCAGTTCAAAAGCCGAGTTCTGTCAGGATCTGAAGAAGCCGCCACGTTATTGAAATCAGTCTGGGGATGTCGGCTTTGCCTTTGAGTTCAAGCTGTGAAATTCTGCGGCTGCCGTTTGCTCAGACGGAAAACTGGACCTGCATCGACGGGTTTAAAACTCCGGGCGGCATGGAGAGGCATGTCACACGTAATGGTGCTGAAAACGTTGCCATGTTAGAGACACCAGTGTCTCCAATGGCATTTTTTATAATACTGAAAAATTCCGAAATTCACACAAAAAATATGTATTTGTTAATAATTTAGGATTGTATTCTGAGTCACGTTAGTTGAGAGCAAAAAGTAAAGTATTGTTCAAAATACTTATAGTTCCTCTAATTGCAAAGAGTTATTATAATCAATAATTTTTCTCACTTTTTTTTCTTCTCCATTGTTAACTATTTTCTGTGATCTTTAGCTTCTCGGCCACTAAAAATATACATCTGGCATTAAAGGGAAGTTGCCCTCTATTTAAGTTGCTCTCTATTTTGTTGCCCTCTATTTAAGTTGTCCTCTAGTACCACCGATAAATAGTCCCTGAACTTATTAAGATAAGTTCAGGGATAAGTAGTACAATAGTAATGACATAATAATGCAAGTGTACATTCTCAAAGCTCAACAAGCTTTCATTTTTGATAAACATCTAGCACTGAAACCGGAAGACATTTTAAGTGTCCGTAAACACAACCGCCCTTCGCATAAGGGCGTACTACAGACTAATGCACCAAACTGAAGCCATTTGTCATAAAGCATTAGGTACAAAGAGAGAGAAACAAAAACAAAAAAACTAATCATAAAAATCAGAATTATCAACCTCATTTTCATTTATCCTGCGGTTCATTGATTTACTTCTTATTTTGACAGACTTACTATCGAATGATTTTTGAAACGTCTAAAACCTCCAAACTCTGAAACTATTGTTGTTAAATCAACTGTTGGTCCTATGAGGTTAGCCATAAATATCAATACATTTAGAAATATTGATAAATGCTGTTACTGTGTGGCATTTAGCGATCAGACTGAAATTGATTTTTTAATTCTTTTATCAGAATTATTATAATTATCACAATATATGCTATAAAATACAGACATGCAAGTATAGAACAAATCCCGAGTGGCTGCACATATTTTGGACATACTCAGTGAGATTGAAAGGTTCTGGAAATGTTATATGCCAACAGAAATTGCATTCAAGCAGATTCCAAATGTAAGTTTTTCCCTCAGTCATTAGCAGAAACTCCCCCAAAACTTTTTAACTTAGTGGAGGTGAAGAAATTGAGCAAACAGAGCTGCTCAAAGAAGCATTTGTTATGAATTTATTCCTTTTCTTATATTCAACATTCTATTTGGTTGAAATGGCCAAAGAACCAACTCAAATCCCACCGTGTCTTCAGCTTCGCAGTTTATCTCCCCGCTTCACCCTCTGATGCGCCGTTCTTAACACTAAATATATCTGATAAGAGGTGTGACCCACACAACCCTGCATGCATCCTCGCGTGCACAAGCCCAGCTCTGACTTTATCTCGGCTCGGCTAAATACGGCACTGACTAAACCTCTGAGGCACCGGCTCCACCTCGACAGGCTCATATCTCCTCATTCAGGCCTGCGACTGAACGGTGTGACACACCAAGTCCTGGAGATCGACTGCTTCTCCCAATGACGGCCATCTTTACCGATTGGTTTGTCTGCGCCGTTCAAAACCAACCAGAGCACAAACGCACAAATGATGACAGGAAACCTTTGCTGTGATGGACTAAAAGAACCCAAAGCCGGAATTTCAATCAAGATTAACCGTGTTTAGCAGCTGACTTTACATGTTTTAACCCTTAATGTGGGTATGATAGAGGAATACAAGCGAAGGCAAACTTCTAAAGTTAGATTACCCAAAAACTTAGGTAAGACTTTAATTCAGCAGCAGACAAATTGTCTTTTCAAACCTTTTTATTTATTTTATGTGCACAAGAAGCTCTAGAAAAGTCCAAATAGAGATGATATCCATGAGCACTGATCTCATGAATACAGGAAGACAGAAATGGAAATCTATTCTGTTATCTTCTGTTTTTTTCCATTTTAAAATTACTTTAAAATGCAGAAGAAACACAACAAATGGCTGCATTTTAAATAACTTTAGACTGTAGATTAAAACAGTTCCGCATAAGCCAACTTAACTGAGGGTTTTCTTCAACATAGGAGTTGGCTATTCTAAAACTTTTATCAAAATCTTATAAAGCAATCAAACATCAGGTTACAGAAGCGTAAAGTTTCAGTCTCTCTGGAAGTCTTTGGGGTTTTTTTTTCCTGTCTGCATCCTAAATCAAATTAAAGAATGTTCTATAAGATTCGTTTCACTAATGTAATCTGCCTGCTCCGGTTTCCAGTACTTCCAATACCATTACTGTAGAATTTTCCATATAATACTTCTTTTTTTTAACTGTTGTTTAACTCATTTTAATTTTACTTTACTTTGAACCTTTAAATATTTCCTAGATCTGCAAAAGTTACATTTCTGAATGTCTGTGATATCATTTATATTCTTCTCTTGCTCTGTTCATTGTTGCAAATGAAAGGATTTAAATAAGTTACTTTACTTTTTAACTGTCAGAATAAATGAGCAAGGCTGTCCTGCCCCCACCTGTTGCTACAGAAAGAAATTTTAAGTTTTTGTAAATTGCTATTAAAAAAAAAAACATTTTGAAAAATATATGAAATATTCTCATTATTTTAGTGAAGATTTGGCAAAACAAGACCAGCCGTTTTTTACTGGATCTGGATGCTTCAATTGTTTTGCTATTTATAACATAAGTTTACTATTTGAAGGAGATCAATAATGGCAATTATACATGAAAACTGCTTATTATACACACAAAATATATTTTCAAAAAAAAATTTAATCAACAAATGGAAATGTTTTTGTTTGTTTGTTTGTTTGTACAACTAATTTTCAGAATAAAGTCAAACATTTGAGTGCTGAAATACTCCAGAGATCTGACATAAATGTTTGCTTTATGTCTCAAGCAGTTAATTGATCCGTGATCATAAAAGTAGATCATCCCAGAGTTTGCAATATCACCACTCTGCTGCCTGACACATAGATACTGTGTTATGGATTAATCCGAAGTGCTAAATGGTCTGCAATTCAGTAAACATCCAGCTTTAACCTCCATAAAGTGGCTAAGTTGTTGGGTTAGATAGCAGAATAAGATCTCGGCTCAGTTTGCCTGGAGGAGCGGTGCAACTCTCCTGCTTCCGATTCAGCTAAAAACAAACAAATCAACACACGTCCTGTTACATATGTCAGCGTTAGCATAGCGACTTGGTGTTTTGTTCTCACCTAAATAGCTGGTTCTGATGGAGTTGGGCTCCCCGTATCCGATCAGACGTTTATTAACATCCCAAACCAAGTTCCCAGTGCAGGACATTGCGACCAAGTGGGTTTGTTTTAGCTGACAATAACATCTAAACTAAGCTAACCCTTCCTCGGACGGCGTCGCCTTTTGTCGGATTTCCATCCACTTCGGTCCCTTTCTGTCGGGACGGTGCTAGCTGGCTGTGGCGCTCGGCATCGCCGTGCAGGGGAAAGTCTTCCCCGGTCCGATCCCCGCCGTCAGTCCCTCAGAGCCCACACGGTCCGCGTCTCTGCGCTACGGAATCCAAACTCTCCCTGTCTTTCGAGTCTAGCCTGGTTTATTTCTTTCTGCGGATAGCGGTCAGCTGGATCAAAACAACGCGAGAAAGTGCGTGCTTTTGACAAAGAAGACAGGTGCGTTCGTTTTCTAACGCCTGGAAGAAATGGCTGTCGGAGTCTTTGTGAATACAATATCAGAATGGACAACATTGACCGAGATTGTGTCCCAAAAATTTTTTTAATGACGCTCAGAGTTATTATTATTATTATTATTATTATTATTATTATTATTATTATTATTATTATTATTATTACTTCCTTGTAATAACTGGGTCATATTATTAATTTTCTGTACACTTACTTGAGCCATTCACATCTGGATATTATGTATATTTTTCTTTACGAATGAAAATGAAACACATGGAAATAATGTTCTATCACCACCAAATAATTAAAATTCAAGCTCAGTTTCATCTTAAGAAGAATTGGATCCCAGGACAATGTAAGAACCATTTTAATATTTTTAGAAATTCTAAGTGTGCTTTGCTGACACACTTTCGAACACAGTCTTAATTTGTCATTTTAAAATGTCCACGGCACTGTTAAGTTGTTTGTTTTTGATCTTTTTGTTTCTATATTTACAGATAAAGCCAATGTATTCATGCAACCTGAGCTGCTCCAGATTTCCCCATTTTACAATAAAATGTTTTACAATATTCTTTTCAGAATCCAAAGCCTCTGTGCAATGTGCATTTGTGTTCAGATAGTTTACTATTATCGTCCTAAATAAAATTCAGCTCAACAGAAAAACACATTTCCACACAACGGGGAAATATAGTTCAACTGTGTGCAGTGATCTCAAAATACAATATACAGAAGCAAGATGGGACATGGAACAAATGCAAACAGGATAAATCAGAAAATCAGCTTGAAAATCCACTGAAACTGAAGAGGAGAAAGCAGAGATCCTCAGCTGACCCAACAAACTCAACTCAGTGTAGAAATGTGGGCCTAATGCATGAGAAGAAACAAAAAGTGAATAAATCGTCACATAAACATCTGATGGAAACTTTTTACTGTTAGGGTTCTTTTCGTGTCTTGCTGCTTTGATTGCTGCAGTGAAAATTAGCTCTAGGCTTTTGAATTTGGTGGCTGAAATTCAAAACTCTTTAAGATTTTTATTCAGAAAAAAAATGGAAAAAATATGAATAATTTACCTTTCACTTTGAAAAATTTAGTACTTCGTGTTTTCTATCACACAAAATGAAGACAAATACACATAGGTTTAGGGTGTTACGTAAAAATATAAAAAACATAAATTGCCGGGCGCTGTAATTCTTTTGATGAGTTTGTTTTGTTTCCGCCTTTCTGGTACATCATGTACATAAAAACAAACAAACTCGATAGTAAGCCAATCGTCGCAAAGCTGTCACCGTCTGGACCAATGAGAACCATGCAGCTGTGTAACCCCGCCCATCAAGCGGAAGGTTGCGTCGAACAGAAAGTCACCTCTTCTTGTCCGTCAGGGAGGAAGCTACTGGCAGCTAACAGCAACGGCTTCTGCCGGGGAAAGGTCGACAGTAGGACAGTAGCATCCTCCTCTAACCTTAAACATCACAGAACCCTATTTAAACCGCATTAAACAACGTCTAGCAACAGTTCTGCCGCTGTTAAACGCAGTTAAACAGCAAGCTAACAGTTTATAGGAAGCTAGCTTCTGCGGTTGGAGTCACCCGGATCATGGCTGCGCTCAGAGCGTCCTACCACAGGATTCTGGACGGGATCGAGCACATCCTGCCCGCCAAACTGAGACCTCTCTACAACCACCCGGCAGGTAAATGTACTGCTAAGCCTCTTGGTGAAACTGGCGAGGTGTTGCTGGTGGTCCAGCTGTGGTGGTGTTGTTGTTTATGAATGGGGAGCACATCCTGAAAGAGAAAACGAGAGCAGCTACTGTCTAATCTGTGCGCCGCAAGTTTACGAAAGGTCATCGCTTTTATGCAGTAATCTCACTCTTGGATAACTTCACCCCAACCAGAGTTAATCTTCTCAGATTGTTAAGCGTTTATAAGGAAAGTAAACCGCACTTTAGGTTATGCTTTCTGGTTTGACAACAATCAGTTCATTCATTTCGACCACATCTCTGCAGACACACCTGTCAAGTTTCTGTGTGTTGTCTTCTGTCTTGGAAAGCAAACACAACTAGTTATTGATTTCTGCAGCAAAAATAACATTTTCATGAGCAAATATAGACTTTTTTTTATTATTAGTATGGCAAAGAACTGTAAATGTTCGGCTCTTTTAAATTTCTGTTTTTAGTCATTCCTTGTTTTGAGAAAGGTAAAAGGGTAAAATGAAAAAGTTTTCAATATTCTGGGTGGTATTTTTATGTCTCATTATGACCAAAAATGTTCAGCAAGTCACACATTTCTAAGACAAATTTAATCAAAACTGAATATTGGATTTAGATTATTTTTTTACATTATTTTTCTATGAAAACAATTTTTTTATTTTATTTAGTATTTTAAAATCCAAATTTTTACTGCTGGTCTTGACTTAATGGAGGATTGCTCATTAAATTGATTAAAAGGTAAAACTCTCACCTTTCATCACATCTTTATATATATATTTTTTTTTATTTGCGTACTCAGTGTCTATCAATACGGGTAGAATAATTATAGTACGAACACCGACCAACATGACTTTTCCAAAACAAAGCAACAACACCGATTATAATTTGCCTAACTTCTTAGTCCTATATGTGTAGCTAATGTTTAGTGACTCAGAGTTTGATTTTAAGTTCAGTGAAGGAAGTTTTGAGGTGAAGCGAGGTCACTGTTCTTTTTTTTTTTGTTGTTGATGTTATTATTCAAGGACAACTTTCCTACCTGGTAGTAAGGGCGGCGACAAAAGCCACCTCCCTCCATCATGATTTGCAGGGACAGACGTCCCACTTTTCTGTTTGGTTCACCACATTTGAGAGGAGTACTGACTCCAGACCAGCAGCTTTGATGATCAGGGTTGAAGCTTTGCGCAGCTTTATTGTGTGTCATTCCTGTTTCATGGCAGTAAAACTCTCGGTGTGGTTTGATCTGCTTTGACACGTCAAACTCTAGAAAAGAGTGAAAGAATACTTTTAGTTATTGCCCATTTTAACATCCCTAACCTTTGATGTCTTGTGCTGCTGCAGTTACAGCTGTCCTGATGAAATGCAGATTGCATCAGACATTTTAAGGGCTTTTTTTTATTCCAGAGTGCAAAGGCATTGTCATAAAACAAAAAAAAATGAAACACCTTAACTCATTTAAAGTTGTTAGTATCTATCTGAGTGACTTTATGGAGGAAAAATGCATAATATTGTTTAAAAAAAAAGGGGGGGGGGGAAAGAGTTTTGGATTTGGATAGTTTATCAGCAGGACAGTTTAAAAAAATTGTTTTCTTTTATTGACTGTTTAATAATTGAACGAAAATTAAACATTATCAAATAGCACATTCTGTGATATGCTTAGTTTTGAGTTTATTCAAAGCCTGATTTGCATAAGCATAAAATGGGATAATCCTTTATTGTCTTTTTCATTCAAAACTATTTAGTCGGTCGAGAAAGACTGTTCATCTCATCATCAGGTAAAAAAAAAAAATAGGCATTTATATAAACTTTGTGAGTTCTGTGTTTTGTTGTGGAAAAAAACTATTTCCAAGCACTGTGCAGGTAAAATCACTCAATCAGGTTTATTCATATGTTGTGCTCATAAAACAATCAGTAATGAAGCCAGTCTGGATGCCAAGCTCACAAAGCTCCCCAAGCTCTGCTCCTGGTGGTGTGACATGTCATTAAAGCGACTTTTAAGTTTCTGAAGGAAAGTTTTCCTGCTTTTGATTAGCCAGCTTATGCGTCTTATGACAAGTTAACTGCTTGACAGGAACTGGGAGCTAACCAGAGTAGCCTCAACATTTAATGCCACGTCACACGGTTTCCCTCTCACTGTGTCTCTCCAGGTCCAAAAACAGTTTTTTTCTGGGCCCCGATGTTTAAATGGGTAAGTGCACTTTCACACACAGTCATATGTAAGCCTGTGAACTCAAACAGAGGTCGTTCCCGACCTTTGTTGGCTTTTGACAGCATAAAACACAGTTTAACATACATAACCCTTGCCTGGTTGCTTGTTCAGTACGTGAACATTGCGGACCTCAGATATTTCTCAGGGGTCAAAGTCGGAACTGAAACATTGACTGACTGGTGTTGTAAATGTTTGGGATTAAAGAAAATCTTTTTCCCCCCCTCTTTCAGGGCCTGGTCTTAGCTGGTTTGGCTGATATGACCCGACCAGCAGAGAAACTCAGCACCTCCCAGTCTGCAGTGCTGACAGCCACAGGTGGGTTTAAGTTGAATTTTTCAGCAGGAATCCTTTTAGAGCATATAAATAACTTTAACTACTTAGACATAGAAACATTGTTTGGTTGAGGTGAGATCTGGTTTGGTTTTTCTCAACAAACCTTCTGGATCAAACTGCTTGCTGACGTTCCCTCAGAGATAGTTTGATTGAAATGTGCTAAAGGTTAACCTTTGCATCTTCGTTTGCTTTAACGAATCTTATCTATCGGCCTTTTTTCACCAAAACATTGACTCTGTGCTGGTTTATCATCACTGTGGACAAACATCCCTCCTGTTCTCCTCCCTCAGGGCTCATCTGGTCCAGATATTCATTGGTCATTATCCCAAAGAACTGGAACCTTTTTGCTGTGAATTTCTTCGTGGGCGGCGCAGGAGCGTCCCAGCTCTACCGGATCTGGAGGTGGGTTTGCGTTTTTCTAAATTCACAACTAAACATTGGTCAAGCAAAGATAGTCCAGTTTTCTCACCTTTTACTGATAATCTTTAGAAATGTATGGCTGCTTTCTTTTATTGGAGCCCACAACCTGTGATCATTCCTGATGTAAAACACCAGTAGGTTCATTTCTGACCTTCCGCTCTAGATGTGTTCTATATGTATTAAAGCAAATTATGAAATGACTGAACTTGGACCAAGAGAATCACCTCTACCTGCTTCTTTTACCTCAGATTTAGAATGATGAGCAGCATCACTCCTCTTGGTCAGTCTCTAAAATAAATATATACATAAAAACCAAAAAAAAAAAGTGACAAATGTTGCACTCAACTTGAATTACAAATATGTGCTTCACAACTATTACAGTTTCTGTAACACTAAATCTATGGAAAAGTGTCAAGTCACGATCAGAAACGTAAGACAGGAAATTTTAAATCTTGTTGAACAACATAAAATTAGAAATAGCTCAATATTCAAGTTTCAGCTGCTCGACATCCATTTATGTGCAGCAACAACAGTTTTAACCAAAACCAGATTTAAATAATAACAGAGTAAGGCTAATTAAAACAAACGGGCATAACATTATGACCGCCTGACTGTCGCTAAGCCGGTTCCCCTTCTGTGACCGATGGACTCGTCCGAACCCCTGAGTGCATTCTGCGCTGTCAGCAGCGGATCCTGTGAGATCCGTGGATCAGGCTCGTTAGTCCTCGGTGAACCGGTTTTGCTTTCCCCAGGAATGTTCTGAGGAACAGTATTTAGTGTACGTACTGCTTTCATGGATGAAGTAAATGGTGTATAACAATGCTGAGGCAGGTTGTTCACGTAGATCCATATAAGAGGAGGAACCAAGGATCGCCAGCAGAATATCGCCTGAACCTGTGATGCTAACCGTTTGGCCCACATCTACTGGGACTTCCTGTTTTCACTTTAACTGTAAAATTGAGTCTTTTCAACTCCATTTTAATGAATGTAACTTAGATCATTATTTACATGGGAATGTTCTTTGAATTTGGCTTAAATAAAAAAATCTTTCATTGCTCAGTTCGACTGGTTGACACCCACAAAAACGTTTCACATTTTGGACTCTAGGTGGTGCTACAGTGCTTTTACTAAAGTGACTTTTATCTTTACAACATTCATGTTTTTAGCATGAATACCAAGTTCAGCATAATCCAGGTAGCAAACAACAAAAATGAATATATAGAAAGCTACAAGAGACAAAAGTGTTCAATGTTGATGCTTTCAAATACATTTTTCTCCTTGCGTTTGCAGCTACAAGCAGGAGCTGAAGGCTACTGAAGCCGAGTCATGAGGAAGTTCTCACTGCGATGCTGCTGACACAGAGGGAGACTTTTATATCATCTCTGCACCATCCTGCGCTGTTCCCATAACATCCATGCCATAACTACATTTTACCACATTAAGCCTGTTGTCCCTGAAGGAAATATGCTTTTCCCCAAGTTTCAAGTTTCCTCAGGGTGTTTATAAAAAGATAAGATTTTTTTCTTCTTTTTAACTCGTCAATATCGTGGTCATCAACGCACAAGTACCGCTTGTTCACCAAGTTTTATGATTGTACAGTGTCTGATTTCACACGTCATGCTTTTGTATCCTGTGCACTAGTCGGGGAAATTTTGCGTCATTTGTAGCAATCGGTACCTCAAGCAAATTTCCCAAAATGTTGGATCTGTGCTGAATGTCACCATAAATTTAAGGATTTATCTTTTCATTCACATATTTAGAATTTTATTGGTGTCTGTTCCTCAGCAGCCATTAAACCTTTGATTTCAATGGAAAGGATTCCTTCCATTTTGATAATCCATTCAAGAACAAACCCTCATTTGTATTTTTATTGTGACAGAAGTGTGTGAGAAGTTATTCGAGATGTGCGAGAAGTTATTCGAGATGAGCGTGCAGCTTTGCGAGTCAACGAGCAAACACTGGTGCAGATAACAGCTTTTTTTCAGACTTCCTTGTAAAATACTTGATCTAAGAAAATGTTTTTTTTTTCTCCAAAAAAATTGACAGAATCAAACTGTATTTATGCAGTAACTCCCTAATTTAGCAATAATTTGTGTAATTAATCTGCCGACTGTGCAGGCATTTAAGGGATGGTCATTAAATGTAAAAAGTATGTTGGGAATTGCTGTGTATTAATAAATCAGACTAATACAGCTTGGTCACCCGAGTGTTGATTAACTCTGGATATAAACTCAGATGTGAATGGATGGCAGCTTAATGAACTGAGGATTAATTTTTAAAGAGTAAGGAAACAAAATGAACCACATCAGAGGTTTACCTTCAACTCGGTGTTGTATATTAAACAACAAAAATCCAAAACCAGACGTGAGGTTTAACCACAAAACTTTATTCACAAGCAGTAATGTAAGTCCAGATTTAGCGTTTTCCTCCAACGCGGGGTGCGCTGACCTTCATGGGCTTGGCGATCTTGGGTTTCTGTGCCGTCTTGGCAGAGGTCTAGAAAACAAGAAAGTCGTTCAAAACACCAAATTTATCAAAAAACTGGTTAAATCCTAAATTTGCCAATTTTGCCAAACCTACATCAAGGTCACTGAGTAATCAAGCTTGTCTATATTTCACATTTCTCACCTTTGCACTTGGCGCAGCGGGCTTCTTGGCTGCCTGCTTCGCCTTCTTGGCCTCCTTGGCAGCTCTAAAAGGAAAAGGAAGGTTTGAACAGCTGCTGCTGGATAATCTGGTCCATTATAAAGCCATCTTTAAGTGATGATAGTGTCATTGTGATTTGGCGATGTTTAAATGATCAGTCTATCATATCAGCTCTAGTAAAGTACTGAACAAGAGCCAAAACAATGGCACAAGTAGTTCCAGTTTGGCTGTCTCATATCTTGTTAATTTTTTGACATTTAGAAGTTTCTTAACTCCTGTCCAAAGATGTACATAAAAATACACACCATTTACATTCTTCAAAGCTTCATTTTAACATAAAATATATAAAGAGAATGGGAATCCTAGACTGAGGAACAGTCTTTATAAGAATTATTTTTTAAGTGGCGTTTAGTCATGTTGAGATTTATGGACAGTAGAGAACTTTAGTGTCCTCACTTTGTTAAAACAAACAGTCCATTAGAGACTGTAGCTCTTGTCCAATCTCTAAAACATCTTATTAAACATGGAAATATTTCTAAATCTTTAAATCCTGTTGCATTTTGATTATAGTTAAACAAATGAATATAGTAGTTACTTTTGTTCAGGCCACTTCTACAACCAGATAGCTCTAAGAATTATGTTTTCTCAAATTCAGTATAAAAAGAGATTTTGGGCAAGACACTGATTGATTGTCTTCTATCAAAACCATACTTTGATATTTAAATATTATTTCCTCCAAGCATACTACAAACCACAGCCATACGGAGTTCTGAACATCTCAAAACTTTAATCATAACTCGTCTTCTTACCTGATGGCCTGCTCCCTCTGGGCCTTACGGACCTCGGGTTTCTGGTTCCTCTTGGCCAGAATCTCGGCCAAGGAGGCCCCAGTGATGGCCCTCTGGAACTTCACTGCGCGACGGGTACGCTTCTTTGACACCTCTTCCTGTAAAGGCAGACACGACATTTATCAAAATCCCTTCAGTCTGTAATACAAGAAGATACTTTTGAAGACAAACAGGTCCAGCACCCATGTTTAAGCTAAGAGAAATAGCAATATTCTTCCTTAAAATACTTCGTCACTGATAATAAAGCTTTAATTCTCTAAAGCAGACATTCTTTTAAGGGTGCAGCACGGCTGTTACCTCAGAGCAGGAAGGCAGACAGGACTAAACATCTGCTGTAGCTGTATTTAAGTTGACTGGATATTCAGCACCACCAGGTGATTTAAATAAGCCCATCTAAGCTTTGACTGACAGAAGTAAACAGTACTCAGACGCAACAAGGTGATATTTAAGCACTGAACAAAAACTAGACTTCAGAAAATAGTTTCAGACTATTTTTAACCAAAAGCACAAAACGTAGATCACTAGTCTTAAAAATAAAAAAAACTGAGCTATTCTCCACTTGACAAAGCAAATACTTATTTTGACATTAAACACTGTGCAGTGTACCGATAATACTAGCCACCACTAGCTGATAAATGAGCCGTTATGTGTAAATGAGTGTTTTGTTGGAGACTTTGGAGGCTGGTCCATGGTGAGATGTCTGCGAAGACCTCAAAGACCAGTACTATGATCCCCGATTGCTCTATGGCTGCAGGTGCGGAGTGAGTGCTGTGGCCAGGACTGCAAAACGCAGCCTAGCGACACCACATAACACAGACCTACACTGTGCACACCATTCACCGACAGCCAAAAAAATACTTCACACACAAACGAAGCATCCCACCCTCATAAAAAGACAAAGACTCCAGGCAGAAAGCAAGCACTTATATTTAATGTTTGGCGACAGATGTTGTCAAGTCTTATGTTCTGCACATCTCTGGTGATGTTTTACAAAGAAATTACTTGCAACATTTTTTTTCTCCAGCATTTATTTTACATTTTCTATGCAGAGAAATTAAATCTCAACTGAATTCATCCTCGCGGACAGGTAAATGCACATATGCAATTTTGTGGTAGTACAGGAGTTGTTGGGGCAGTGCAGCTTTCAAGAACGCTTCAGGTTCAGCTGTGCAAGTTCACACGACTATAATTTGGACTGTGTGGACTTTCGCAGGACAATACATAAACTCCAAAGGGAAGATTTTCAACATCAACACAAATCAGGTTGTGTTTGTAAGCCCTGGTACTTACAGACTGGCCCTTCTTGTGCTTGCGTCTGTACAGCACAGTCCAGTTGATCTGTCTGGGGTTCCTCTTAGATAGAAAGGCAGACTCGCACTTGGCGTTCAAAAACTGGAACACCTGATAAAAACAAAACAATTGCTATAATTTTAGTTTGTGCCCTAGAAACTTGGCATTTACGAGTTCAATAAACATTTTTATATATTACACCAATCAATAATAAGGATGTAAATACTATTATAAGTCACAATTTAGATAATTACAATGAATAACTATACTAAATTGTTGAGATGCTCAATGCTAAGTTATCATTCAACACACTAACCTAAATATGAATGATATCAAGATAAAGAAATTTCCTGCTAAAACATATGCAAACTTGGGTTAAGCGTGACTTTAACATTATGTGACTTCAAAAATACATACTATTCTCTTGGTAAGAACCTCGTGTCAGTACAAACTGAAGTTTTATATTAACTTATATGTTCTTGCTAGAATGATGACGCTAGAAGCTAATGCTAGCAAAGTAAATAGCTTTCAAGAGGACCGAGAGCATCTTGAACTAAACCATAACCAACAAGCTACTCATTTTAAACCAAAAGATGCATTTATCCCGCAAAACAGCTACATTCGCAGTGGTAAAAGGCCAAAATACAATGCGAAATTGTTACCTTTCCGTCTATCCTGGCGTATCGGCGGCCATGGCCGGGGTATATTTTATACCCGCTAAAACTGCACAACTCGACCCTGTAACCAACAAATATAATACATCACCGATAGAAGAGTGAACAACATATCAGTTTATGCTAGAGGTATCTTAACAATGTCGATTAAAGAGTTCAGATTGCTTTTGATTATATTCGGTACACTCACTTCATGATGGCTACGAGAGGGCTCAAAACCGGAAAGAAAGATACCGGAAGCGGAAACTGATTTACGGTTATTTATTTGATATTTAATAAACAAAAAAGTGAACGCTTCCTAAGGGTTAATCGTATGCTTGCTTTTATATGTTTTAATATAATAGATTTAAAGTAATTTTTGGGTCATTTTTATATCTTGGCTAAACATTACAATGTGACGTCATAACTTAACCGTTGCCGAAAAAGACGGATAATTTTTTGATTAACAAAAATAAAAATAAAACAAATATAAAATTATTATTAAAAATAATGAGTAGTTCCGTTCCGCATTGTTATTCATCTTTTTTCTTTATTTTATAATCAAAACGTTGTTGGCGGGACGAGCGTACAACCGCCGACAAGCAGTGAGCTGTAGTCCTGTCGGGGGCATATTGTAAAAGCACCCTTGTGAAAGAGAAAGGCACGTGGAACTACGTTTCCCATAAAGCCCCCCGTGCCGCAGTTTGGCGACCGAAAGATGCTTCTTGTCTTTCCCAGTGTAGCTGTTAGCCAAAGCTTAGCCTTGTCCTGAGCCGATAGGATGGGAGTATCAGACGTGAAGTGTGATACAAATGCTGGTAAGTGTATAAATTGTAGTTTTTCATAGAGAAATATATAAATTGGGGGTTAATAGAAGAGGCCGAGCGGGGCGCATTACATGACACCCGTTAGCAACCTAACGTTATCAGTACATAGAAACACACAGAGTCAGTTACTCTAAATTAAATAATAAGTTTACACGTTTCATGTTTTGTTTTGCTTATCTCTGAGTCAAATCAATGCATATTATGCATAGGTATCTGATACGTGTTGTAAGATTATGAAAAAGTATTTGTTAGGATGGTATTTTCTTTCTGCCCTAATTTTGTCCTCTTCGTGGAATTCCATCGACTATTGAGCTTTTAAACATTTAAGTCTCAATAAGTTTGTCAGTCAAACTCGTTGCTTTTGTTTTCAAATGAAAGCCTTGTGTCTGCTGTAGTCATTATAAAGTCATGAAATCACATTTTTGTGTGGCTTTTCTGACTGCTCTGTCCTCGTCCTTCGTTTCTGCCCCAGTCCCTGTGGTTGATCTCTCAGCTCGCAGTATGCAGAAGCTGGATCCCAGTTTCACATGCTCCGAGGACACCCACACCCTCATCTTGGACCGTAACAACATCATGAAGCTGGATCACCTGGAACGCTGCCCAAGCCTTCAGCAGGTAGTGTTAGGAAAGACACACAGCACTCACTGGTATCACGCTCAAGATAAAGATTGATTAGATTATTAGAGTATTTTGCAGTTTGTTCCCTTTCCCGCTTTTAAAATATCCCCCATCCATAGAAAATATTTGCCATACTGTACATTCATAATGATGTTTTGCACTTAACCTTAAAATTGGTGAAATAAAAGGAAAGTATTCAACTTTGACTAGAAAAATGTATAGATAAAGATTGATTAGATTATTAGAGTATTTTGCAGTTTGTTCCCTTTCCCGCTTTTAAAATATCCCCCATCCATAGAAAATATTTGCCATACTGTACATTCATAATGATGTTTTGCACTTAACCTTAAAATTGGTGAAATAAAAGGAAAGTATGCAACTTTGACTAGAGAAATGTATAGATAAAGATTGATTAGATTATTAGAGTATTTTGCAGTTTGTTCCCTTTCCCGCTTTTAAAATATCCCCCATCCATTGAAAATATTTGCCATACTGTACATTCATAATGATGTTTTGCACTTAACCTTAAAATTGGTGAAATAAAAGGAAAGTATGCAACTTTGACTAGAGAAATGTGTAGAACTCGAAGGTTTCATACCCTATAAACATTTGCTTTAATCTGTTTAATGTCTGTCTAATTTGAACTCATTATTTTCTACCAATCAGCTATCTGTAGCCAATAACCGATTGGTGAGAATGATGGGGGTCTCCCAACTCAGAGAGCTGAGAGTCCTCAATCTTCCCAATAACAGTATTGGCTACATTGAAGGGCTGCGAGATCTGTCCCATCTGACATGGCTCAACCTGTCAGGAAACAACATCAAGGTACGGAAATATTTGTACAGACATTGACTATGTTGTAATTAATATGGTTATACATTGATCTAATGCCAGTTGATAAATCTTTAACAGTCTCCTATCCATCACAGGTCATTGAGCAACTGAACAGCTGTGTGTCTCTCCAGCACTTGGATCTTTCTGATAATAACATATCTGCCATAGGTGACCTGACTAAACTAGAGTCATTAAAGGTAAGTCTCAATATTTACTTAAACAAAAAAAATCCAATAGAGCACTTTAATGATTCTTGTGTTGGAGGGGATTTTTTTTCTCTCTCTTTATAAATGTGATCCATTTTCTGTCCACTTTACAGACGCTGCTGCTCCATGGAAACAGCATAACAACGCTCCGCACTGTTCCTGCCCATCTGCCTGCCCATTTATCAATTCTCTCCCTGGCAGAAAATGAGATAAGGGATCTTAATGAAGTAATTGTCTACCATTTAATTCTGTCCTGATTAGGATCCAACCTGAAATAAGGCTTGCCACCATAACAAATTTAGCTGAGTGATAAATAGTCTCAGACGTTATTGTGGTAAATAATAATATTTTGTTGTTTTGAGACCATTTTCAAATAATATATTGATAGTGGCATAATAATGTGAGAAAAACATCCTCAAAGAACAATAAACTATAAATTCTAATGAGTATTTGACACTGGGCGACTGTGGCTGTGTGGCAGAGTTGTCTTGCAATCGGAAGGTTGTAGGTTCGATTCCAGCTTCTTCCTGCCATATGTCGATGTGCCTCTGGGCAAGGCACTTAACTCCAAATTGCCTACCAGTCGGTGTATGAATGTGTGTGCGAATGGGTGAATGTGACTCTAGTGTAAAGCGCTTTGAGTGGTCAAAATGACTGGAAATGCGCTATATAAGTTCAGTCCATTTACTGGAACTCGTAGTCATTTCAACAAAAAAGCGCAAAATTATATAAAGTATGAAGTTTCTGTAAAGAAAATTGTTTTACAAAAAAAGATTTAGTTGAGACCAATGAACCAGACTGAGAACTTCTGTCATCCTGTTTTTGGTAGAAATGGAGAGAGACAAGAAAAATGATAAAACGTGGAAATATAAATTATGAGCTTATTTTAAATTATTGTACAATTAATTGATTTATTATTTATTGCAACTGGCCTTACTGAAACGTAAATACTGCTTATCAGTGACAGCATTGAGTGTTGTTGTTTAGGTGTCATACCTGGCCCCTCTTCATGAACTGGAGCAGCTGTCCATCATGTGCAACCCCTGCGTCATGGTGACTCCCTCGTTGCCAGGTTTCGATTATCGACCGTACATCATGAGCTGGTGCCTAAACCTGAAGGTCCTCGACGGCTACATAGTGTCGCAAAAAGAAGGGTGAGCCCGTCTGCCGCACTGCTACGGCCTACTTGCGACGCTTTGTCAAAACTTTTGAATCTAATTTGTGTTTTCTTTATCTGTTGATGACAATAGTCTCAAAGCAGAGTGGCTCTACAGTCAGGGGAAAGGTCGCTCATATCGACCTGGGCAGCATGTTCAGCTGGTTCAGTACCTGGCCACTGTTTGCCCTCTGACGGCGTCACCTGCCCTGGAGACGGCAGAAGATGCCAAACTGGAGAAGATCCTCAGTAAACAGAGGTATCATTGTGAATGCTGCGTTACCTAATGCAAGCATGAAATGGTTATTTCCACCCGCTTTAATAACGTATAATTATCTCGAATTTGCTCATTTTCTGTCAGATTTCACCAACGGCAGCTGTTGGAGGAGACGCGCGGAGACTGTCCCAGTCCTCCTCGTCCGACTCAGCTCGATGTTGAAAGCCAGAGCCCTTCACGTCCAGCTTCACAGAGCGGAGACCGAGAGGTGAAAAAAATCCCCACGCCTGCACTCGCTGCCGCTCCGTCTGTCCAGGAGAAAGGTGAGAAGACTGCTTTATCAATTGTACTGGTAGTCGTAATCCTTTGCTTTCGGTTTCGTATCCGAACCACAGAGTGTCCGCGTAACCTTAAAACGTCCCAAAGTCCTAATCTAAAATTAAGGCCTTAAAATTTCTTAACGTCATTGTAGAAAATGTAAGTTTAACATATTTGAGTTGGCGGAACCTGCAGAAACCATGTGTTGACCTGCTAGTGTTCACCCCTTCTGCTCTTCCACAGAGCCAGTCGTGCAGTTCAACACTTGGGTAAGTTGCGATGCATCTCATGCGTCGCTGCCAGCCGTTCGCAGCCCAAGGATTACAGCGGAGCACATTTTTTTGGAAGACGTGCAAACCGACGAGGACAAAATCAACTGCAGCTTGCTTTCCTCTGAGTCCACCTTCCTTCCCTTCACGTCTGACCTGCACCCACAAACGGGCCACACCGACAGCGAAGACGAGACGGAGACGTTTGAGCCCGATTCTCTGGCTCCAAAGCGACCATCGCAATCCAGAAATTCCAACCCTAACAAGACCAACGAGTCGCCTCCCACAGAGAAGAACCCGAGTAAACCTGGTGGAGAGAATAACGCATCTGTTGCCACGACAACAGCTGCATCCACGGCAAGGGTTGCCATGCCAAAAGATCCTACAGAGACGCCCTTTGACTTTGGGGAAGTAGAAAGTAAAGACACTGGAAAAGCAGCACAAGTGAGCTCGTCCGTCGACAAACTAAATCTGCTGGAGGCAAATGAGGCGGCGGTCAGAATCCAGTCCTGGTGGCGAGGGCACTCTGTTCGATGTTTTCATCCCGCAGCCAAAGAAGTGCGCAGCGAAATCCGTCTGCGCCGAATGCAGGAACACATCCTCTTCCTGTCTGATAAGCTGGAAATGTGAGTTTTCTTCAGTGCTTATATAGCAGATTTCGGCAAGAGGCAAAAACAAACCTGATTAGTTTTATCTTTGGTTGTGTTTTAGCACATGTCAGAAACAAGACGTAAGGTAGAATCTGTTGTGTCAGCAGGGTGGAGAAGCAGTACGAGGAGGAGAGGCTCCAAAGGCTGGTTCAGGAGGAGGCGGTGAAGTTTCTATGGAAAGAGGTTAATAATTATTACATTTATGACTAATAAAGAAAAAATTTAGCATTTGCATGTAAACGGTTGACACAAACCAAAATATCTATACATTTATTTATTTGTTATTTATGCAAAGTGTTCTGCTGAAATGCTATCAGAATACAGATCAAGTTCGTTCTGTCCTGCTTCTGATTCATTTTCTCGCCTGGCTTGCCAGTTCAGTTTGATGCCCATATTATTGTAAGATGGTGACTTGAACCATCTTACTGTTAAAAGTTTGGTACATTATCGAGAACCTAGCTCTGCCGAGCGCCTCTGCACAACTTTAATCGTGTTCCCTGATCTTTCTGATCTGAAGCCTTCAAAAAATGTTTACTTTCTATCATTTTCTTCACTTCACAGTCACGCACTAGTTTGTGTTGATAACATTAATCCCAATGAAATCCAATGAAGTTTGTAATGTGACAAACTTTGAAAAATGTTTTTTTTAGTTACTTTTTCACAGGATCAACTGCATCCTTTCGGAAACCATTTTCATGGGTACCAAAGTTCTTTAAGTTGCGTTTGCCATCACTGGGGTGATTTCTTCAGAGACGCAGCCTGATATCATTCCTCTTGTTCCGTGTTCTTCATGCAGCTTCAGTCCATGCAGCAGTGGAAGCAGTCAGTGGAGAACAAGCTTGCAGCCGTTACACCACCAGCTCCTCCGGCTCCGACCTATTCTCCGGGGGTTTGCCACACAGCCCCTCCTGCCGCCTCAAGCACCACAAACCCTCCCATCACAGACGTCTCCTTTCCGGACTCTGGGTTCCAGTCGACCAATGAGCAGCAGGCTGCGCAGGAGGACAGCTTTCTGAGCAGCGGGACGGCCGACTCTCTGAAGACGGTTCGAGCGCTGAGCTCGGTCCGGAGTGGCTTCGCCGGCGTGGGCGACGGTGCCGACAGCGCAGACTGCAGCCTGCTGGACGAATACCTGTCTTCTGTACAGCAGAGGGAGGAGGAGGCTGAAGGGGCAAACAGCGATAAAACAGAAACTCCACACACGTCCCCAAGCAGGACAGCTTCAACCAACAACACCCCCATGCAGAAGGCACCACAAAGCACACCAGAGTTGGCCTGACATCCTTATCCAGAATGTGTGTGAATAATTATTCTGCGTGGGAGTCAGACATTTTGTTCCTTAGTAAGACCTTGATTAGATCTGTAAACTGTATTCTTCTTGATTACAAATGAAGCTCAATTTTAACTCTCAGAAGAAGCTTGAAACTCTAACGTACACTGAATGTAACTTAAGCTGTTTTGTACAATCTGTTCTGGTTATCACTGGACATTTAGTGCGATGAAAATACATTGATTGAATGTAGCAACAGAATTTCTAACAGTTAATGTGGACAAAGTTCATCAGTAACTACTGCGAATACAATTAGAGGCTGACAGTTACACAATGTATGTTATTGTATTTTTTTGTATTTTTGATCTGTTTACCAATGTAGATTTTTGTCAACTTTTGGGTTTGATAAGTTTTAGCGGTTGTGCTATTTTCAAAAATGTAAATAAATACGTAGATATGCATCATTGGCGCAGAAGATCAGCACATGTCTGTCCTACTTGAATGACTTTCCTGTCTTTCTCATTTCGAAGACAGAAGCTTCCTTGTCTCGGCCCCAGAGCTCAGAAACCAGTTTATTTGTATTCACCTCCAAGCTGGACTTCGCACGACTACAGTCTGTTCACAAGCCTCTTTCTGTGCTCCGGATGTTTGAGCTTCATTGTAATTTCCAGGAATTGTTCTATGCGTCTGATGCTGGAGTCACATTTTGCACACAGTGTTGGTGCATATCCTTCCATGAATAACCATTTTCCACATCTGCTTGCATCCATCCATTTCCTAACACCCTCATCCCGTCAGGGTGTAGCTCCAGCTGCCAACAAACACTGTCTCCACAAACAGTTGTTGTTAATTAATGGGACGAAAGTTTCAAAAGGTCACCTGAAAAATCCACTCTCTGATGTAGTCAATTGTTAAATGGAAAGAATAAAGCTACAGTATACAGAGCTTTTATCAGTGGGTGTGTGAGTCTAACTTGGAGAGGAGAATGCATCTGCTCTGCTTCAGACCAAACAATCTTGGAACAGTTCTTCCTGCTTCATGTGTTGATTTCGACTCAAGACATGAATTCTCCTAATTGTTTTGCAACTTTGTACCTGAAGACAGTCATTATCTCACTTAACTCAAAACTTTGCATCTTTGGAGCTTCATTACAAAAAAATGCAGTGGTGAACAGAAGGATCTTATCTAAACAACTAATCTTCAGTACGAAAGAGGTTCCATTCTGCCCTGTGGCTACATGACTATGCATAAGGTCACGTAGCCACATAAACTTGTTCAAAATTGAACAGGTTTTGAGCTCCCTCCCTCTGGGCCAGGGAGTGACTTCATTGCTGAAGAGGCCTATATATTGTGGGAGCATGCAGCTCCAAGTCAGAGCTCATTGCAGGTACAGCTGATGTGCTGTGGTTGCTGTGTGTTCTCCGTTTGCAAACGACAGAAATATTTTTTTTTTTTGCTTTTGCCGTTTGCCAGAGTCTTAAGCCTGAGCTGTCACCACACAGATTTTTATTTTTTCCACAAAATTGGCGTCACGAACAAGGATTCTTTGCTGCTTCGTCCAATCGGTGGTCTAGAAGAGGGTTGACCACCAAGGCTTCTCCTCCCAACCTCCACCAAATTTGTCTGAGAGAAAGGGGACTCTCCTGGATCCACCGAGAGGATCAACCACGACAGAATGAAGATCCAAGGCTGAGAAAAAAGCTACTCTTTTAAAGGTAATGTAGGTTAATCTGCATTATTAACCGAGTTTGTGCACAGTAGGTCAGTGTTTTCTGACTGAGGTAGGTCAATGTTTAATTGACTGAGGTAGGTTGACTTAGGTCAACTGAGAATAAAAGTAGGTTGAAATAAATTACTAAGGGTTTAAAAAAAACATATACATATATATATATATATATACATATATATATATATATATATATATATATATATATATATATATATATATATATATATATATATATATATATATATACGCCCTCCGCATATATATATATATATATATATATATATATATATATATATATATATATATATATATATATATATATTATATATATATATATAATCTAAACAATTAATTGGCTGACCAATTCGCTTGCTGTTTATTTTGATCATGTTGGCACTGCACCACTCCCCATGCTGATTTGGTTCAAATGCTTGTGAGCTCGGAGTTTGAGTCACGACCTTCTTACGCCTTTATTTTCAAAAGCTGACCCAAAAGTGGGTCAAAAGCTGGAAAGTTTGACCTCTGAACGTCCGGCTTCGCTGTTGACCTCTTTTGTAGAAGTGAGCCCATGTAGCTTTTATTAAAAAAAAGAGAAAAAGAAAGCAGAAGAAGGAGGAGGAGGAGAAAAACGGCATCCTAAACAAGTCAACGTGTGGCAAACCCTGACCACCAGGGGGCGCGGTAAAGCTCAGCGGTCCTCTTCAGCAGCGATAACGGCGCTTCTGCCTCTGATGTTCGGGTTTTATCTCTCTCTGGTCTCCTGGCCTTAATTCTCGATTCCTCCATCGGTTCGTCGTCATTCTGACATGTAGGTAAGACACCTGAACGCCCTACGCATACAAATAACGATTTCGGTTGTAAAGTGCATCTCTCTGATAAATCTTCATAGCCTATATACTAAGGCTCCTCAATGTTGTTTATTTCCGTATGAGAAGGCGTCGGTGCGCTCCGACATCACACACTGTCATCTTTCTAAGATCATTTAAAAACAAAACTGCCGCTCAGTCTGCACCATTGTTGTTGTTCTGTTTTGCTCATTGCTTTACTGACGTCTGCAAAGATGTATTTATTTATTTATTTTATTTGGACGGGGGGAATGGAATACATTTTTAAGAGCTGTATTAAATTCTTATCGTCTTGCCGTACGTCAAAACAGCAACCCGATTCCTCTGGCTGTGCAGGAGGAGCTGGAGTTCAGCTCTGTCCTTTGTTATGGGCTGAACCTAAAATGATGCGACATAAAACAAAAACAACAACAAAAAAACAGGCAATTCTTGTTCCCCTTCTCGCATAACTTTCTATCCTGCATCTAAATTACTCTGTTTATATATATAAAGCTACTAACCATGCATGGAGGGTTCCACCCCAAATCCAGCAACCTGAGACTGTACACGAGCTGCAAGGAAGGAAGCAGAGGACTAGTGAGTGTGAGAACCACTGTCCAAGATTCATAAATACATCAGGGACAAAGCCTCAACAGACAATGTGCTCAGTGAATGTCTCAGACAACAGGGAACGGAGGTTGAGGTGCCAGAGATACCATCATGGGAGGACAAGCCCCTACATGGGATGTACCACCAGCAAATAACCCAAGTGGCTGATATCAGTAAATCCTACCAATGGCTGGAAAAAGCTGGACTCAAGGACAGCACAGAGGCCCTCATCCTGGCCGCCCAGGAACAGGCCCTAAACACCAGAGCAATAGAGGCCCAGATCTACCACACCAGACAAGACCCAAGGTGTAGGTTGTGCAAGGAGGCCCCTGAGACAGTCCAGCACATCACAGCAGGGTGCAAGATACTGGCAGGGAAAGCGTACATGGAACGACATAACCAAGTGGCAGGCATAGTGTACAGAAACATCTGTGCAGAATATGGACTGGAAACACCGAGATCAAAGTGGGAAACACCCCCAAAGGTGGTGGAGAACGCCAGAGCTAAGATCCTGTGGGACTTCCAGATCCAGACAGACAAAATGGTAATGGCGAACCAACCAGACATTGTCGTAGTGGATAAACAACAGAGGAAAGCCGTTGTGGTAGATGTAGCAATACCAAGTGATTGCAACATCAGGAAAAAGGAGCACGAGAAACTGGAGAAATACCAGGGCCTCAGGGAAGAACTGGAGAGGGCCTGGAAGGTGAAGACCACAGTGGTGCCTGTGGTCATCGGGGCCCTCGGGGCAGTAACCCCCAAACTGGAGCAGTGGCTACAACAGATCCCAGGAACAACATCAGACATCTCAGTCCAGAAATGTGCAGTCCTTGGCACAGCCAAGATACTGCGCAGAACCCTCAAGCTCCCAGGCCTCTGGTAGAGGACCCGAGCTCAGAGGATAAGAACCACCCGCGGTGGGTGAGAAGGGAATTTTTTTTATATATATATATATATATATATATATATATATATATATATATATATATATACATATAGATATATATCTATATATAGAGATAGATATATATATATATATATATATATATATTGAAGGGAGAAAAATGAGAAGGGAATTTATATATATATATATATATATATATATATATATATATATATATATATATATATATATATATATATGTTTTACATATGTTTCATCTGTAAGAATTGTTGATAAAAATGAACACTTTCTCAAATTATAATTACTTGGCTATTTGGAAAATAGGATTTCCTAACTTTGACTATCATAGGATGCTTTGACGAGCAGCTCTATTCTGAGCCACTTCCAAATTCACAAAAACAAACGCCAGTGAGATTTCGTTAAACAGGAGAAATGTTGTTCTTTGTTAAGTTATGCCTTTATGCAAGGAAGAAAAGGATTCATACGCTGAAAGTTTGTCGACCATCTGACCAACTTAAATGGATTTAAATGTTTTCTTCTTGATTTGAGCTCTCCCTGTCTGTCAGCCTGGTTAAAAGGTTGGATTTCCCCCCCTTATTTTCATTTTAAATGATCACTGTGAGATTGTGATCACATCATAAGTAATTCACTTGTTGTAAACCATGAGTGTGTCCAGGCCGGAAAGCATAATCGTACAAAAGACGATGATGTTTGCAATAATGGACTGATAATGGCTCTGCTCATTCCGACGTTTCCTGCTCTGCCTCTCCGTGTGCTTATTACAGAGCTGAAAAGCAAAACCATGCCGTGGTGACGTGCGGGCGAAGAGCAGGGCCTGATCATGAGAGATAAAAAGGAGACACCATGTGCCGAAATCTGTCCAAGTATGCCTTGCTTTTCGTGTTCCTGTTGTTGTCAGGATTCATCTTCCTGCTGCGCAACATCCACACTCTGGAGGTAAGACAGGAAGTGGGACACATCTGGGTTTTATTAAACAAAACACAGCTGGTAAGTTCACTTATTTTCAGCAAAAACTGGGAAAAAATGTGAGGTGCAGAACGCACAGAGTACTTTACTAATATATAGTGAAAGAGGACATGATTGTCTTCTCAGCAACTGGGGCTGCAGGGTTAGTAAAAACCTTACCTACATTTTAGTGTAGCACTAAAGTTCACACCATTTCTTGTGTAAAATGTGGCACCTTTCAGTTGGTAAGGTCTCAGACACAAGTTGTTGAAGGTTGATGTTTTGTGCCTAAACCTAAACCTTTTTCGCACCATTAATGCATTTCCCTTTTAGTTCAGCTTTGAGTTTCATTTTTTGTTTCTCCTTTCTAAATAGCCTCTCACCTTTTATCGAGACTTGTGAAGAGTCTGAGACACTCTGCAGGGTTGTGAGTTAGTTTGGGGAGTAGATTATTGAAAGCTGCCTCTTCTGTGCATCTCTCTGTCTCTCTCTCTATCTCTCTGTCTCTCTCTCTCTTTCTGAAGCTAATTTACGCTGAGGAGTTCTGGTCAGGTCCTGAAACTGGTTAACAAACCTGGTTGGTGCACAGAGAGAGAAATTAATGAACTCCAACACTTACCCATACTAGCTAGGCAGTTGTTAGTGGTTGTGAGTTTATAATTACATTCTGAGCTGGACGATCGGTGGGTCAGTTGGAACGGCCCAGCTCACCTCAAGACTTTTCAATTGATCATGATCAATCTGCTCAGATCGAGGAATGAACAAATAATCTGCAATTGGCTAAAGAACTCTTGTTGCAGAAAAATTGGTCTTATCTTTATAATATTATCATTTCTACAAAGAAACTGCAATTGGCAAAAGTGAATATTGATTTCAGCAAACAATACAAGTGTACAGGGCAGCAGGTTGTGTGTAATACTCAACTATCTTCTTTTTTAGAGTTGGAACTGCCACGCAATCTCGGCCTTTTACCAGTTTCAGACCAGGATCCACTCGTCTCTCGTGAACCTCCCAACATACAATCAGAACCTCACCTTCTGTGCCCATCTGGGCCAGAAACCATCTCCTGAGGATAAACTTGAAGAGCACTACTTGTTGGACTCAATAGAGTGGCCTGGCCCTCCAGCTCGCCTTGCTCCACTCGGCCTACGCCAGACGAGTGACCCTGTTCACAGCCTCTTCACCGTCCTTCCCAATAAGGAAAGAAGAGAGTGGCGCATCGGGGACCAGCTGGAGGCTCTGGTCCAAATGCACGACTATCAGGGTCGTCCTAAGCGTTACGGCGGGGACTTCCTCCTTGCCAGGCTGCATTCTCCAGAGCTCGGCGCGGGTGTAGCCGGGACGGTGGTCGACCACAGGAATGGAATTTACTCTGCTCTGTTCCCGCTGCTCTGGGTGGGGGCCGCCCACGTCGAGATAACGCTTGTGCACTCCAGCGAGGCGGTCGCTGTGCTGAAACACTTGAGGGAGCATCGGCCCGATCGGGTTTTCTTCAAGAGCCTGTTCCGCTTGGGTTTCTTGTCAGAAACGACTCTGTGTAACATGTGCTTACCCTCCGACCAGCATCCTCTGTGCAACTATACAGACCTCTACACGGGCGAACCCTGGTACTGCTACAAGCCCAAGATGCTCGGCTGTGACACCAGAATCAACCACGCCAAAGGGGGATATTTAAAACACCTCCTGACCAACAAGGAGGCTCTGCTCTTCCAGAGGTCTGTTGTGTTTTATGGGTAAACAAATTATACTGGGTTCCTCCACAGTCTGGGCAGTTCTGTAAATCAAGTGTTTACCACGTCAGGCACATATGTGTAAAGGATGAGATGAGAATGAACTCAATCAATCAATCCATCAATCAATCCATACATCCACTACCAATCAACCCAATCACTCAGTGTGATGCACACTCACTATCAATACTGTAAACAGCAAGCACATCAGTAACTTTAGCTCCAGGGATTGTTTTCTACAAACTCGTTTCAAACGTGTTTATTATATATTAACATTAACATATTAACATTTGGTTTCACATAAACTTTCACTCTAAATTTGCTTGAAATAAAATTTCTCCGTTCTTTTCCCAGTGGTGTAAACATCAAAGTTCAAATACACGCCTCAGGAGAAGACAGAATCAACGTGCTGCCACCTGAAGGTAAACTTTATACTTCTTTGTTCTGCAGTGTCTGTGTATTTCATGGATTCATTTTTGTCTCCCTTTGTAGCAGGTGAAGTTGAGAAGGAAAGCAGCTCTGTGAAAACAGACCCGGTTAAGCCCAGGCCTTCTGGATATTATTTTAAAGACTCCTGGAGGCCGTTAGGAGGCACCGTAATGCGTCGCTTCAACGAATCGGCGGCAATCACTCAGTGTTTGAGGAACAAGGTGATCAACATGTATGGCGACTCAACTGTTCGACAGTGGTTCGAGTACCTCATTACCTTGGTCCCAGGTGAGTCGTTGTTTGTTTTCATTTTATTTTAATTATTTACTTTTACACATCCCTTGTTGCTCCTAAAGCAACTTTCCTTTATTCCCAGAAATGAAGGAGATAAACCTGCACAGTCCGAAAAATGTGGGGCCCTTCATGGCCGTGGATACAACCCATAACATCCTGGTAAAGTACCGATGCCATGGCCCGCCCATACGCTTTTCCACTGTCCTGTCCAGCGAGTTGCGCTACATTTTTAATGAACTGGACGGCCTTTCCGGAGGCCCCAACACCGTGGTGGTCCTCAGCATCTGGGCCCACTTCAGCACCTTCCCCGTGGAGGTGTACATCCGGCGCCTCAGGCACATTCGGCGAGCGCTGCTGAGATTGCTGGGCCGGGCGCCGGAGACGCTGGTGGTGATCCGGTCGGCCAACCTCCAAGCCCTGGATGAGGAGGTGAGCCTGTACAACAGCGACTGGTACTCCCTGCAGCTGGACACGGTGCTTAAGGCTATGTTCAGAGGCCTGGATGTTCTCATGGTGGACGCCTGGGAAATGAGTTTGGCTCATCACCTCCCTCACGCCCTCCATCCTCCTCAGACCATCGTGCAGAACATGATAGACATGCTTCTGTCTTACGTCTGCCCAGGGACAAAGTCGAGGACAAAGTAGAAGCTGCGGCGTCTGGTGAAAGAATCTCTTGTCGAAGGGAACGGGAATTCATCTGTCAACTGTACGGATCTGAGCAGCTTCTGTTACCCTCCCAAATTTTAGCGAATGGTTTTATACTTATCGTGTTCCTTCCTGTACATAATTTATTCCAGGAATGCCAAAGACTCAGGCAGAATCACTTCTTCTCCGCTGCTGGAACCAAAGTGAGCTTGTCTGTGCGTGTCAAGCGTACCCGGCTTCTTCATGCCTCTCAATACAGCCTGAGGCAGAAAAAATCATGTCTTATTTTTCTCATTCATCCCTTCATCACAAACAAGATTCCTCCTGAATGCTACAAAAGAAAAAATTGGACAAAACGTACCTTAGAATCAAATATGAATGAATTATTTTAAAACATTACAAATTTGCACCAGTTTAAGTAGTTAAATGTTTCCGATTGCTATGACTTAACGTAGAAACCTGAATAAGCTCAAAATTCATGTTTGAAATTATAGTTTTGAGAAAACTGACCAAAACAGTGTCGCCGTATGTGGGAAAGCCTTGCTAGTGTTTGTTGAAGCAGCAACACTCAGTGCAGCCCGGGTTTGCTTCAGGTGAACGTCACACACTGGTGGTCAGACATTTTCTCTCAAACGTTTCTGCTGGAAGGCATTAGAGTCACCGTAGAGACTTGTTTTTCTCGTAAAGTTTTTTGTTTTTTGTTTGGGATCAACACTTTTCACTTTTGTCTCATCAATCCACAGAGTATTTCCCCAAAAATGAAACTCTTGAATTCATCAAGATGTTTTTGGGGCCAGTGTAAAGGAGAGGCTTTTGTCTTCTTTTTGGTTAGCAAGCCTTTTTGTTTGCCTGAAAGCTTTTCTACTTTTGCCTTTTACGTGACATAAGACAGTGCCTCCAATGGTTCTGGTTTTCTTTTGTTTTCGGCTACTCCTCCCAAGGTGCTCAGGAACTCTTTTCACTCTTCGATATGAGAAAATGTAAAGTGAATCAAATTTATACAGATTTCTGATCAAAACTTTTGGCTCAAGAGCACAATAGAGTTTGCACAACAGTTAGTTTCATCATTGACTATTGATTTAGGTGAGAAACAATCATTGCTGGCTCGTGTTGGAATCTGAGCCAGCCAGTTATGGAGTATTTCTGAAGTGATTTCTAGGAGAGGATGAATGTTTTGGATATTTTCCTTGTTAAAAAAATGTGAAACTCTGTGAGCGATCAGTATTTTTAAAAATATAACGAGAGTACATGCACTTTTAAATAGAAACTTTTACTTATCTTGCAATTTAGTACCAAGGCTACTATATTCTTTTGAAATTTGGGGGATTTTTAATTCTGTGGCATCTCACCACTTAAAGATATCAAAAATACCACATGTGCCACTAGATACATACTATCTAAATCTATCAGACCCAATAGTCTCATGCTACCCTATGATGACACTTTGTCTGTACCGATGAAGGTGAACTCTCCTCGGCATGCAGAACGCTTGCAGCTGTGGCTACAATCTAGTAGCTTACTGTCAGTGTGTTAATGTGTGAATGAATGGAAATGACTGATCTTATTGTAAAGCGTCTTTGAGAGACCTGGAAAGCTCTATACAGGTCTGATTTTATTTCTTACTTCCTCTTAGGAAACCAAGTTATTTGAGCATCAACACAATGTTCTATCCTCAGACCTTTAGATGACATTTTGTGCAAATCAGAATTTTTTAATACAAGTTTACCAAGACTGTTAATTTCCCCTTATTGTTACTTATCACTTTTGAAATAAAGAATTTTATATTTAACTTTTACTGTTTTTTTCTTTTGTTTTTGCTAAATGTACCAATATAACCTGCTGTTATTGGTATTCTTCAAAGATTAAAGCAAAATCAAATGAAAACAAATTGTCTTTGGGACCGATTTACATTTAATGCAAGACTGATTCTTTGGCAAGCAGCAAAATAATTATGGGCAACCTCACCAGAGGAAAACACAATTATGCAAACAGCTTTTACAAGACCAGCTATAAACATAAACAAGTTTTTTTCGTTCTTGTTGCATTAGTCAACACCTTGCTGCTTTTTGTGCAGGTCCATGAAACAAACTACAGAAGGTGCACTCTTCATAGACAACCACTTTACTGTTCAATCATAAACTCACACACACAAAAAATTCACCACATTTTGTTAAGACTTTTATTTAAAAACGTTCGTGGAGCTTTTTCCAAAACTTCAAACATATCTCTAAGTGCTAAAGCCTGCACAGCATCCTTTCTCATAGTTAAATGTATAGCGCTAAAATTGTTTTGGCAATAAAAAAAAAATTGTACAGAACTGAAGGCAAACACCAGAGTCATACAAAAACATCATAATGGGGACAATTACAATTAAAGTGTCTTAATTGAACAAACTGATTCGGAAACAAAATTTAAAACCAGTACAAGAAGAAACGGAGCAGAGTGTATTACAGGAAGAATAACGGGACAAAACGATCGAATGACTTTAGCCTATGGAGCAGCAACCTCTAGAGGTCACAGAGTCAGGCACACAGAGACTGACGGGGATTTTTGACTGCAGCTCAGGCACAGCATCACAATGAATCCTCTGTTTTCTTGTGACGAGACACCAAAGCACTGCAAGGTGCTGTGACAACGCTGTACAGCGACTCCTGACTGCAGCATCTTAGTTGAAAGAAAGAAGTGAAACGGTTTTGTGTAAAAGTGGCATAGTTGATGTTTTGATATGCTGCTTTGAGAACAGAACACAATCTTCATTTAGTAACGGCTTAAATAAATACTACCAAAATAATAAATTCTCAATTCTGAGACCACTCATTGTTTGGCATCTATGGGTCCAATCCTTACTGAAAAGTATATGTATATATATATATATATATTAAAAAAAATTCAACAAAAAAATAAAATGTAAAGGGAGTGAAATTGTAGGCGACACCACAGCGGTATATAGATATCACAGAATGATTACACGTCCTGGACATTTATGGCCTCCTGCGGCCAGCTGTAAGTGTCCAGAGTGAAGGAGTCGTAGTCAGGACTGTAGATCTGCGACAGCACAAACGCCTCCTTATCCTTGGGCTCAGGGTACACCGAAGCCAAGTTGTTCTTGTATGCATAGCTGACGACCTGAAACGGGTACAAAGGGCAGGACGTTGATATCAGTCATTTTGATTTAATCAACCAGGTGGAGATGTTTTGTGGCATCTCCCTGCCTGATCTCCAGCTCCCTCTGCTGGTTCTAGTAATCACTGCAGGTGTTTCCTTCACTTTGGTCATCAAAGCAAATCAAAAGATTTACTTTATTATTTAAATGATAAGGACAAAGCACTAACAAAGACAAATAAGGTTTTTTTTCTTTTACTCTTTTTTTCTATAAGTGAGTCTAATTTACACAATAAATTGGATTTTAAAAATGTTAATTGTGGGAATTATTTTCCCACTCATAAGATGATGCAAAAACCAGCATACTTTACACAAATTACAGATCTTCTTACATCTCATTACCCCTATAAATAGTGTTAAAATACCGAAAAGTGTATTTATTTGAGTGATTTCATTGTAAACTGTAGTTCTTTTTCATTTATTTTGACATTTTGAGTTTACAGCTAACAAACACTAAAGTCAAGCCAAATTTAGTTTCAGAGAAAATTAGAATATCCAATCAGATCGAATAAAAAAATACTTTTTAAATTAGAAATGTTATTTTCTATAACATGTTTTATTAAAACTAATAAGGCTCAAGAATATATTGATCCTTATTTAACATCTATTTGCACCATGTTGCTTTAAAGTTAGATATGCTTTGTCTTTTGGATAGGAAAACATTCAGGAGAGCTAGTTGGGATTGGCTGGAGGAATCTTTCAGGAAGCTGCATGAGAAAATAGGTAATCAAAATATTATTTAATATTAAATCTCCCACCTTTACTGCAATCTTGAAGGACACTTCTCTGATGGTGCTGAGAGGTGGATAGAGTCTTCCTTCAGCCAGGTTCTCTTCTGTTACCATGTCAGCTATCGCCTGACACAGACAAACAGGCACATGATGATCAGACGTGAGGCTTTTACTTGAAGGTTCAATCAGAGGGTTGAAAATGAAAACCGAGAGATTCTGGGTTTGATGAAGCATAAAGAGATTCAGCAGAAGCTGCTAAGCTTCTTTCACTGAGGGACGGACCTCTGCAGTGGTGAGGAAAATGTCTTCAGGTATGTGGCGCACTCCGCAGGCTATCACACCCAGGGCGACTCCTGGGAACACGTAGGCGTTGTTTCCCTGACCGGGGAAGAAGGTGCGTCCGTCTGCCAGGGTCACCTTGTTAAATGGACTCCCGCTGGCAAAGATGCCCCTGCCCTGATCACAGTGAGGGAAGGAAACATGACAGCCTTAAAAAAAAAAAGTAATAAATACTTTTGCATGGCCCTGAAATGCAGCAACTGCAATATGTGTGAAAATGTATCACCTCTGTGAGTTTGTAGCACTGCTCTGCAGTGCACTCAGCCTTGCTGGTGGGATTGCTCAGAGCAAAGATGATGGGCCTCTCGTTGAACGACGCCATGTCTCTAATGATCTTCTCGGTGAACGCTCCTCCGATCGCAGCCACACCTTCAGCACAAACACCAGTCAGTTTTCTGACAACGATAATGATGAATTCAGAACATCTCCATTGGCAAAATCTGTTAAAAATTAAAGCTAACAATTATATTTGATCATTTTGTCAGATAAGTTAGTTTTGTGCCATGTATTCTTTTCTTACAGCCGATTGCTTTGACGAGATGTTAGAAATATTTGACAGCTCAATTTACATGCAGTTTGCGAATTTCAAACTATTGAGTACAAAGGTTTTCGATGGTTTGGATTGAAGACAAAGCAGCGATTAAGCATTTTGCCGCTACGGTGGGAAGAAACGCTATGTGAAAAAGAGTCACCTCTCACAGATTTTCACTGAGTTTCCATAACTGGTTAGGAACAAAACAAATGTGGGTTACACACTGGTGAAACAATGCGCTGCATTTAACCAGCATTTCCAGTTCTCTCACCAATAATGGCAGTGGGTTTGATGGTTTCCACCACCTCCTCCAGAGTCTTCAGGTGTGGATGTTCGTGAGCGAACTCAGCCTTCTCGTGGTTCAGATTACCTCTTCCCTGTAGGAGCAACAACTTTCTTTTTTTGTTTTCCAACCTCATGGCGATTTACGTACAGGAACACGTGATCAGACACGTTACCTTCACAATAAGACCCTTTGAATCAACCATCCAAATCTTCTTGGCAGCTTCTTCTCGAGACACTCCCTCTTTAGCCATGGCCATCATAAGTATGGCCATCATAAGTAGGTGGGCGATGCCCATAGCAGCCTGGTCAGATGACGGCAACAACAAAAATTCATTCTGTAACAAAGTTTCCCTTTAAAGCTATTTTTAAATTTATCATCGTTTAGCTCGACTCGCCTCGCCTGCTCCCTGGAAAACAAAGGTGTGGTTCAACAGTTTGTCCTTCGTGATCTTCAGAGCAGCAAATACTCCAGCGACGGCTACAGATGCCGTGCCTGCAGAAAAAAATGAACTTAATTATGAAACAATATCGGCTTGTGACTCACTACAGATCAGAAGCATCAAACAAAACCAGTCACTAAACATTATCCTTCCACTTCACACGACTTTGTTGGTTTAATCACATGAAACCAACACAAAATAAAAGTATATTGGAATGGAAAAATGTACAAAACTTTAATGGGTGCCAATTCTGCTTTTTCAAATGACAACAAAACCGATTGCAATGCCAACGCCAACTCCTGTGACTAACAAAATACCTTGGATATCGTCGTTGAAGGTGCAGTAGCGATTCCTGTACTTGTTAAGGATACGAAAGGCGTTGCTGTTGGCGAAATCTTCAAACTGGATCAAGCAGTTCATGCCATACCTGCAGAGGAAATGCACCATCAGCCAAGCACCAAGATTACTGTTTGAGTTTAGTAAATAATTGGAGATAGACTCACTTGTCCGTCACTGCCTGCATGAACTCGTCGATGAGCTCGTCATACTCCTTTCCTCTGATTCTCTTGTGCTTCAGGCCGATGTAAAGAGGATCGTCTAGAAGCGACTGGACGAGAACACATATTTCTGACTTCCTGAAGTGGTTTTAGAGTTGATCATGCCGATAAATCAGGTTGTTGTGCGGTTCTGCAACAAGAAAAACCCATTCCAGCGTTCTTGCGCACTCACCTGGTTGTCGGTGCCGACGTCCAGCAGCACAGGGAGACACTGCTGAGGAGGAACGCCGCCGCACGCCGTGTAGAGAGCCAGCTTCCCAACAGGAATTCCCATCCCATAGCTGCCCAGGTCTCCCAGTCCAAGGATTCGCTCTCCATCTGTTACCACTATGGCCTGGACAGACACCAAGCATTACTTCACATTTTTCATCACAAAATGACTATGTAGTTTTAAAGCACAACAGCAAACTAGCTGCTGATTCTCAGTATTGTGCAGGGCCACTGGTCTGCTTCGGTAGCATCTGGACTCACGTTGACATCATTTAAAAATCTGTAACTTTGACTTGTCAAATTAAGAATGGAGCATCCAAGGCAAAATGCAGAGTCTTTACAAACCTTATTATTATTATTATAAAAATTCCTTAAAATATTAGCTTTAGTGTTTGGTTTAGCATTTCAGACCCACTGACTTCATAAGCCTTAGAATGTTCATAAAATTATCTCCTTTTGGTTTTTTTCGATACAAGACCAAAATACAGAAGGAAAAATGTTAAAATCAAATTGGCAAATCAAAGATGAAACAT